TATCAAGATTAATAGAATTTATGAATCGAAAGGTGAAATGGTCTGCAACTTCGGAAATTGGACTTTAACTTCTGCTTGGAAACCGGAATTCTTGAACATTACTGATTTGTAATAATTTCGTATATGATTTATCTTTCAATCTGTACACAACAATAAATAGTTGACTTGTAATGAACCAAATATGTACTAAAATCTTGTTCCATAACTTGATATATATGTAATTTAGAAAGGTGAAACAAACAGTGATTGAGGCAGTAACAAGTGCCACATTTTATTCCTTTGCGAATCTTATCAAGCTGTAAGGATTAACTGATTTTCTGTAGTGCTAGTTAAGTTTTTCAAGCTCTGGCTTTTATGTACCCAAAGTTTGAATACATTCGTTCTGAGGAAACAAATTAATCTTTTCGAGAAATACTATCATGAATTCTAAATGCATTGATGTAATGATTTCGATCATTATTTAGCCAAATGTCAAAGACGAAAACCAGCTATATTGGGCCCCATTCATTTTCAAATCTAAAGAAATTGAAATATGTGTAATCTATTAATTATATTCCATCAATTTAGCAACTAATAATTTTTTCTGTACGAATTTATTAATGGGTACAACCAAAATATTTCAAATGCCTAACATTATTATATTACGAATATATTAGATCTATTACGGAGAATCGACTGCAAAGTTATTCTGATGCCTTTCACAGAATTCCGGAATTGTTGGCCTTGTGAGTAATTCAATGAAGATAGAAAAGCTTCGTAATTATATTAGAAAATAGCCATTAGGAAAAATCTAAGTTGTTGAAGAAATCACTTGCTGACTATACGAAATTATTTCAAAAATTTAGTAAATAAACGAATTTTTTTCTGTACGGTATTAATAGAAAATTCTTCAATATAATCTATCAATATTTAACTTTCAAAATATAGGAAGTTATCCAACAACTTGAAAATTGAAGTACAGCACTTGTTTTCTAGGCCGAGTAGATTAATTACTTTGTAGGAAATTTTTCAATTTTAAATATCCATAGTGTTACCATAAAAAGTACATAATGTATCCGTATTGCACCTATAGTATTAATCTCATGCTACTAAAATAGGCAGGCTAGAAATACTCGCATAGCCAGTGTTTCTTCTGAGCATTTTACAAATTTAAGGCATCTCCATACTTTGTAAGTTACTAATTTCGTATTAGGTAGCACACAAGGGATCCTTTATAATTCTTTTCAATTGGTTTAAAATTTCATTAAAGCCCTGATTTTCTACAGAAATGTTCTGAAAGTAAAATATACTTGTTTCTCTGTGTAATATTAGGGACTTAGGCGTTAATTTAATTACTGAACTTGATAATGATTCATTCAATGGGCTTCATGAACTAACTAAATTGTTAGTAATTTACGAAAAGAACTCTTTGATATCGTTTAATATCACATATATAAATTAAATTTATAAACAAAAAGACTTTTTATTCAAGTAATTACTTCAATATGCTTTCGCTAATATATGTTTCTATTATCAGGAAATTATTCTCTAATAAGATTAGAATGATTCATGATTTAAGTTTTAAAGAGCTGATAAGCTTAAAAATTTTGTAAGTTATCAACAAGTAACCAAATAGCATTAAGTTAGATGCTTTAAGATTTCGTACTAAAACCGCAGATTTGAATTTTCAAAAGAATTTTAAGTTAATATAGCGGATGAAATATTGAATTTTCTTTTCCTGTTTCTAGAGATTTAACAAGGAATAGGCTATCTACAGTTAACAAGAATTTACTGCACTTTTTAGTCAATTTACAAAAATTGTAAGTAACTATAGAATAAGAACAAATCTAATAAAGTAAAAAGTAGCTACTTCGCTCGTTATAACTTTATGGTATTATTATCGAAATTTTATGGCACCAATAATGTGAAAATCAGCATAATAATTGCTGCATTATACTCTGTACTAATTTCATCCCACTTAGATATAGATTAAAAAGCCTTAAAGTAAATCTTACAGGATAATTTGGGAGCTTCTAATTTACCCGTTACCATAGGTACATGAATAGTAATTATATTTCCACTATACATCCAGAAGCATTTTCTTCTTTGACTTCCGCTACATTTATGTAAGTCACTAGTGATATTATACAAATACTCTTTCGTACATTAATGTCAGTATCCTTAAAAGGTTAAAAACTGTATTACAAGACTAAGATAATTGATTCATTTTATCAAATTCCAATGCTATTTATTGTAGTTTATTTTGGGAAAAATTATATGACATTCTATGAAGAACTTTAATTGATCAATGCGATCTATTTCGTTTCAGTTATTTATCGAACAACAGAATCTCGACGCTTTCCGATGATACCTTTAAAATGACCCATAATCTCAGATATTTGTAATAAATTAATCTTGAAGCCTATTTTGAGAGCAAAATGCATCATAAATAAAGCAATAATTGCACAAAGTGTCATAATTCGTTGGTACATACGAGTACGAGTAAACTAAATTTGAATTTAAAAATTTTAATTCTAGGTATTTAAATCAAAACCAAATAACGAAAATTACGGCATCACTATTCAGAAAGTTACACCAGCTAAGAAAATTGTAAGAGAAATAGACTTTTCCTATTTTACTTTAAAGTAGATCTTTTAAAATTCGCCCGTTTGGTGTTAAGAATCAATCCAAAATTTAGCTAATATACGTACAAGAGACACTCATAAGAACTAGACAGTAATAGGAGTAGCATACTTTCCCTTATTTTGAGCTGAAACAGTCAATATTGAAGTTATTTCATATAGCTTAAGGTATCATCATACCCTATCAATTAAATATTTTCTCTGAGAAGTGATCAAATTTACCGTTGGTTGACATAAATGCTACTACCGTATAATATGTTTATTAAGCTAAAAAGGGGAAAAGCTAGAAGTGATTTTATAATATAATTTAAATTAATCCAATTAAGTTCCAATGATATATTACAAACTTTAACGAGTTTTAATATAGTCAAAAGTAAATAATTTAATGATTAATATTGCATTAGTATTGAATCAGTTGTTAGCTATCATCATTAATCCAATTTTTACGTAGGAATTTATGAATAATGTATAAAATACCTATAATTTTTAATAACAGTTATACGATTTCAAAGCACAATTTACACTGCTTCTATAATAATATTGAATATAAATAGGTATTTGCAGTCGAATAGAATTTCCTTTATCGACGCAAATGCATTCAAAGGATTACGGTCTATATTGCAACTGTAAGAATGATCATTATCCTGTTAGATTTACGATCTAACAAAATCATAATTCCTTTGTGTTAATATAACAATTGATATCAACATTTTTGAACAGATCTTTAAATGAAAATAATCTTGTATACCTTCAAAATAACCTCTTTCCTCCAATGGCAACGCTGAGAGTATTGTATGTTCAGTTTGATTCAATTAGGATAACGCTGTGAACTTAAGAAATCGACTTTTATTATAAAAGTTAACTAATTCATATTTCCAAACTAAATTAAATGATTTTATTACCGGTGTCATACACTAGAGATATCTCACGAAACCAAATTCAACGCATTCATCCTCGAGCCTTTAGAAATTTAACAAAGTTACAGGAATTGTTAGTCGTATGGAAACGTATCTATTAGATTTTTTATACTACATTATATAGCACTGAAGTTTTTCGTAATGAGAGAGATACATTTAATTAAAGACTAATTCTTGCATACGAGCTTATATATTGTCTTCTACTGTCATTACTTCGGGATTACTTTGTATTTGTAGGACGTTATCAATGAATAACATCAACTTGTTGCCTAATAATATTTTCGCTGATTTACATGGGCTGGAATATTTGTAAGACTTATTGATGAACTAATTACTATTGTAATAATATAAAAATACTTATCCAAAGCATAATTTTTGTTAAGTTATCAACAAGATATGACTTTAAATTTATATATACATATTCACTTTTTTTAATTTAATACATGAAATGCGGTCTAAATTTGATGAATTTAATTTTTTAACCGTTGTTAAACCATATATAGATCTTCATCCAATGCTAATATTTCACAAATTCAACCCATGTCATTTATGGGTTTATCAAACCTAAGATCACTGTAAGTTTCTACTTTTGCTTGCAAAATTCGAGATAGAAAACATGTCATGGCCGAGTAGTAGTCTCATGCTATTACTATTTGTCCGCCTACGTAGCCCAAAATTTGAGTTAACAAAAGTTGAGTAATTCCCTAATGAGACACAATCTTATACTAGAAACAGTACAAGTACACCTTTTCATTCTATTAGCCACCTGCCGCACTACTAGGATGAGCTGAAAGAATTACAAAACACTTTTGTAATAGATTTAGGCTGCTGTCACAAACTAGCTCTGTGATAAAGATAACGTAAACAAATCTCTAAATTAATGTAGTCTCCGGGATTCAGTATCCTTTAACTATCTCATAAGGATTTAGACGCCTTTGCTTCTACGTTAAACAACTATAAAACTCTTCTTTTATTCAAATATTTGCCGAGCTTAAATACCCCTCAGTAGTTGTTATCATGTATGAGTCATAACAGTTCAAGAAATTTAGTTTATGTTGAATAGCTAAATTAATACAGAAATTATTCATAATTTTAGCCATGTACTGAACGATTCTAGATAATTAGATTACAAAACGTCCATACACAGAATTATTTATAGTATCCTTTATGATTGAATATCTTTAGGATTTTCATCAAAAGCGATACAAGACATAACACTTTTATCAATTAACATTAGCTACCGTATAGAAATTCTTACTACAGTACAGCATAACTTACTATAACAAAATAATAACTACCGTCGTTCTTACTGTAAGTCATTATTAGCTATCTCCATATAAAAATCTTAACCGCTAAATTCAGTCATTTACTCTTCACGATGGTTCGTACTGTGACAAGTGTGTAGACGAAATCTATAAGACACTTTAATTAAATGCTTTTATTTCTAATAATTAATAGCGCAATGACTGACAACAATGTTGATGAAAGTTCGCCTTGGGTTTTATATTCTTTATACAAATTAGAATCATTGTAAGAAATATTATTCTTAAAATATATTAGTAGTAATTTATGTTAGCGTAATTTGACCTAACTCTTCTGACTTCTTGATTGCAGAGTTATAACAAACACTGGCTTTTCAAACGCTTCTTACGATGTTTTCCATAATCTAACTCATCTACGATCCTTGTAAGTAGCTTAGAATGACTTTACTGACTTGCATGGTAAAAAATAATGTCTATACGGAGAACAATAATTTCCAGATGGAAAATGCTTACCAAAGTTAAACTTTCCATCTGTTTGGAAATTTCTGTGAGTTTCTAAAATGTATACTACAAGTACAACCCAGTACTATACTAGGGTATTGTTACAATTAATTAATTCTTGCGTCTTCAATGATATAATTTCATTAAGTAATAAATCACACGTTAACACCTAACCATTAATTTAATTTACTACTATTAAATGTCATAGAAAGTGTATTGTAATTTTAGCTAAATTCAGTATATAGATTTGGCTATAAATTTATTATTGCTATGCGCCAACGAAGTTTGTGAGGCTATATAAAAGCCACAAAGCTCTTAATTTAGGGAGTTAACAAGTTAATCGATAAGAGATGGTTACCAGTTGTTAGTATTAGAATGTAAGTTGTGAGTTCAATCGGTCATTTTAATAAATAGTTTATAAAATAAAGTTTTGATTTTTCACGTAAGTTTTCTATCGCCTAAGAATCGAATTTAAGTTTGGTAGATTAAAGTGTGCATAGCGTTAGTTGCTTAGATTATTAAGACTACTAGAGAGGAAAGAATACCGATAATATTTGTATTGTAATCTTGGTTGTGACAGGTATATTAGTCTTTTCTGTTCATAGTTTACTATCAAATTGACTCTTCATTTGTTATATCATATCTGCAACTACAGTCTGTCAATAATGCTACGATCAATTACACAATATAACGCACATTAAATAATAGAACGAGCACTGATTAAATTATTAACTTCAGTAATTAATAAGTTAGCGCATGTACTCTGTCTTACTGGCATGCAACCAGTCTAGGAATCAAAGTAATATTGTATCACTTATCAGTTTACCAGTAAAAACTACGTAAGAAATCGTTCCCAATAAATTTGTTAAATTGGAGATATACAACAAGTATAATAAATTATTATTACTTACATATGATACCTAGCTGTTGTTCTCATTATTTTAATGGACCATATGAAGTAATGAAATTTATTCTTAAGTTTTAAATTAACTTTAATATTGGATAACCTTTGGCTAAAATTCGTTATACAATTTTAGAAACATTGCCGGTTGCGGTCTCAAAAAGATTAAAGCAAGTTTATTCAAAAACTTGAATCTATTAACAAACTTGTAAGCTTTCCATAAATGATTTTACTTTCCAGTTCGATATAATTTAATTACGGTACAGATATATGTATATATATTATACATATACTATATCTTAAAATTCTATATAGCAAGATCTCTTATTTATTGCAACAAATGAAGGTTTATTTATTTAGTAAATGTATCCTTTACGTTTAATTTGAAGAATACATTGCAATTCTAAAATCTTATTATTAGATGCTGGAGCTCCATTTTATCAACTTAGATTACTGAGTCATACATTGATGATTTTAAAAACAAATCATATTTGCATATAATTTTAGTCATTGTTTTAGACATTTGATAACCTAGTTTCTTCGCCTCGAGTAGGCAAATAATATCTGTTTGCCTAACGGTGCATAAACTAGAGCTTGAATTATTTCATATACATACATGTACTAAATAAACATATTTAGAGGGTTATTCTAACATATTTTAAGTTAGATCACAAACTATACTGAAACTACTTGTGTAAATTGCTAGACATATCACGATAATTAGCTAAAATGGTCAAGCAAAAATAACTTAATATATACTTCATCAAGGCAGTTTATGTCATTATTGGTTTATAGTTCCTATTATTTCAAGTATATCTTTCATTTTAATTTGTTTCTCATCCTAAAAATTATTATAGAAATCTTGATAACAATGAGTTAGAAATTATCAATAACGAAACATTCTTGGGCCTATCTAATTTAAAGAAATTGTAAGTACTATGATTATAGCGTCTTCTAAACTGGAAAAATAAATTCTTTACATGCTGCTTCAGGGCATGCTAATAGTCATTTTTGGATCATTCTAGAATTTGTTGTTTCCTTTAACTGATAACTGTACATACAATTAAAGGTATAAACAGCACAATCTACACCTTGCTAGTTTTCTACAAAGGCCATTTGCTACTGCCACAAAGTAACTATATTACATAGGAACCGTAACATATTTACCTACAATAACTTATACTATCGAGAAATTCTCTCGATTGCGCTTTGTCTGTAAAACTTTACATAGTCTTTTAGATAACTAAATCGTTTAATAGCAGTATTCATGCCCTGCAAATATAACTAATGTTATTAATATAGAGGTAATATAAATTTGACCAATTTTTCAATGAGATTTAGTTAAATTTCGTTTAAAGAAGACTAGTGATTTACTTTCATATCCGAATGATAGGAGATCGTCAGCATTTGGAGCCGTATTGTAGATAGATATCAAGAAGGGTAGCTTAATCATAATTCTTGAAGGAACTTCATAACGTAGTTACTATAACTTTGAGTGCCATATGAAATTAGTAAGCCTAATACTTCAGTAACTATTATTCAGTCTATTACTTTTGCATTTAAATTAACTAATGTTATCAGAGGTTTTACAACGCCTCTAAATTAGATTTATTTTCAATTCTACTTTTTATAGATCCCTTCAAATGAATAAAATATCCTATATAGCTACTAGCGCTTTTTCGATGTCGCCTTTATTGGACACATTGCAAGTTTATTGTCTTATTACTTTCTCAGTATTTCTGGATATAATTATTTAATAAATTGATTAACCATTTCAATTTTTTAGGTATCTGAGCGGCAACAATTTACTTATGAAAGATTTCTTTTCCATACAGTTCATGGGAAAAATTCTGTTCGTAAATGATAACATAATTATTTTACTAGCGATACTCTTACATTCATAGATAAATCGGTGGGATAGATCAGTGATAGCCAAGGCTCATATTTATATTGATATCACTGTCAGGCCATAAAAATGCACCAATATGTACTTTCAAATAATTTGATATCTGTAAGAACAAGCTGAAATACCCGTATCAAATATATTATACCTATTTTAATAATCCATCGATGGTTATGTTTTCTATACTATTTAATTAGACTATAGAATAATGAACAGGTCTTAGCTGTTTTAATAAATAGTCAGAGCATGTCTAAAATTCGTGTACAACTTTATATAAAACTAGTTAATCAAATACTGTACTGATTAATTAATCGTGGCAGATTCTGATAATTCATAAATCTAGTCCCTAAATTAGCTATAGAATATTTTTATAGTTATAACCATCTTACAAGATATAAGTTCAGTTTGTTCGATTAAATTATCAAAGATATATCTATGAACTTTAACTAATTATTTACAACTACCAGTAAACGGTACATTCATAGCACGGACTATGATTAATTATTTAACAATTTTTATTTCAAAATGCTATTATGTGATAAAACATTAAAATTATTACAATCTGTCCTTCAATAATTTTATATCGGCTAGGAGAATGTCTTTTAACAGGCTTCATGAAATCAACTTTCAAAAATTTCTTGCTATCGACACTTCTATTCTGTGTGTTCCCTATACTCTAGTACTTTTTGAAAACTTTCTTATTGTGATGGTGTATGTTCAGAAATGAAATTAGTAATCATCTTTCCAATATTATTAACTATTGACTAGAGATTTAAGCTGGAATAAAATTAGACATATTCACAACTTTCCATTCATGCCATCGTTATCGGAAATGTAAGTGAAGCAATCTATATACAGTAAATACCTATCAATTAATCAAGCTTATAAAATTCAAGATTAAGGTATAATTGTTATATCAGGATTGATTAAGATTTAGAGATAACTCAGCTTTGCTTCTTGTATGCACTATATAAGTATGCTTCATATCTTTGCTGATGTAATTGATTTATCCTTGGCCATCATATTTCATAATCAGAAACTTATCAGATAATCGAATTTATTCTGGTTCAGAAATAAATTTAGCTAATTTAACTGGGCTACAAGCCATGTAAGTACCCATTTTATCCAATCAATATTTTTATAGCTAGTCTGTATTTCTTATTTGGGAGAAATGAAGCCTTACGGTAACAAATCTGATCAATATGTTAATATCATTTATTTATAGTAATTTAAAGAGCAATGGAATCATTTCTATTTCCAGCTCTTTCTTCAAGAGCCTACGGCATTTATCAAATTTAACCATCATGTAAGTTGACATAAATAAAATTTTTGCAAAGCACTAAAGAGCCAGACATGCTCATTATATCCGAGATTATGGCATAAAATAAGAATGCAAAGTATCTGTATCCTAATCCGTGTTAGGCTAACAAATCCATTAGAAGATTCATTGCTAATAAGAACTGCTGTTTCAATACTAGTTTCTGTCCTGATATATTATGTACCTCCTATTGCTTTTCATCACAAAATTGTTGATTAACGTGACAACTTTATTATTCCCAGTATTACGTGTAGCTACTGAAATATTCATTGTACTATAGAACAGTGCAGTAGTTACCAGATGATTGCAATTATTAAGTTGATGTAGAACAGTACCCCCACGTGTAGATAACCTTAAATATCTGGTATTATGTGTCGCCAACTATACGGTACGAATTGTAGCTGAGCTGGTATTTAAGGTTGAGCTCATAAAATAAAAAGTATCTTCTTTACAGGAATCTATGTTTTAGGTTGCGTCTCTATATTGACTAAAGAGTTAACACCCAGCTAAGACTAAAATAATTTTTTCAATTAGGATAATTCAAATATGAATGAATTTTGCTTAATTATTTAGCGAATAGATAAACTGTTGCTTTTATTAATATTAATACTTCGACAATACCTCTAAGAATTAGTTCTAGGACAAGAGAGCCTACTGACTATATAGCAGCTGAACTACAAGCACTATTAAAATTGTCCTAACCGCTATGTTATTCCTGATCATTATTATATTCATTACTCTTATCGCTTCGTTATTTAATAAGCGAATTGTTATGACTTTATTATGCCAGTAATATTATAAACGCGATGACTGTTATCTGATTCTACCAGACTACAAATATCTATTATAATTTATGCGAATGAGTTATGTAGTTAGGTTTCTAAATTATTGATGCCATTTCGAAAACTTAATTAAAATTCCCTGGTTAAATCACTAAAATCTATGAGTATTCCGAATAGAGTTTACTTTAAATGTTATTTAGCGCGTTACTGTAGCAAGTTGTAATTCAATAAAATCAAATTCACCACTCTGAAAGCAATGTTTCTGAAAGCAAAGCTTAGGTTACAGAGACATTAAATTATGATGATATTTCTTACATTTTAGGACGTTAAGTTTTAACAAGATAAAGTCCATAGCTGACAATGCCTTTATGTTCTTAAATCTCAAACGCTTGTAAGTCTCGTATATTATAAAAATTAGATTTCACCTGATATACGAATATAACATAATAACTGCTAGCTTAACATCCTCAATATGACCAGACCGTTTGAATAATCATCAATAATTTGTTCTGCCAAGAAATGCAATATAAAATGAGTTATTCTCTATTTGCACGATTGAAGAATATAAGCAGCTAATAATTTTCTGCTTTTCAAAATATGGTATTAAATATTTTAGTCTAAGATTTTTACTTATCCGTCCTGCAAGATGTAATGTTAAGATACTTCAATTATTTGCCAATTTTGTAGCTTAAAGAAAAATGGCGTATAGTTTAACAGTATTCGTAAATACCCATACATAAGATATGTCTGCATTGATTTCGGGTCAATAATTATTGCACTATGTCACAAATTATCTCATTTTAGAAGTAATAAGCTTCACAATATCTGTACCTTTGAGTAATTTGATATCTTGAGCTAGATACTTTAATAGTCGAATCAACTCGCAAATAAGTTTCTTTATTCTTAGGCCTCGAATAATTAAGTATATATTAATTTCATTATGGGCCAGATCTATGGATTCTAATACTTATAGAGGAAATTTAATCAGTATTTAATGTCAATGTAGTATTCATAGCTATTATTACACATTCTAAGTCTAAATTTTAAATGAAGAAAATTAAAGTAAATTGCTCACTAAGAGCCTACTGATAGGTTTATCTTTCTAAAATCTGCCAATAATAAGACCTTAAATACTGACGAATTTCCCATCGTCAGAAAGTTACAGTAAACCACTAGTCTCTCTTAGATAAAAATTGAACCCAAGCTTATAGAAACATCAGTCAATTTATAATTCTGTCACAATAATAATAAATAACAATGCATAGATGTTATTATAAAGCCATGCAATCATCTTATAAAAGCATGTAAAATATCAAAGATAAATTAATGTTAAGACATTCCTACTATAGATAAGAAGTCTTATTAAAATCATTTTTAAAGGTTACTATGTAACATTACTTTAAAAATGCAATCCACAAGAACTATAGATGTCTTGATTATAATGTTTACTAGGGATTTATTTTCCAATTTGCTAATCCAAATAAATTTTTTGGCACCGCTAAATAACTTGCAGATCCTGTAAGTAATGCGAGTTAACTTGGTCATAATTCATTTTAATGCATATATTAGTTAAGTATGATCGTAAAATTTGGCCTATTAACGTTGTAATCATAATTATGAGATTTATCATATTGTATCCTAGAATTAATTCGTATTTGTGAACAAACTTGCATTCAAGAACAGACAATAAATTTCTATTCTAATTTTTTATTAGCGAGTTGGGAAATAACAAAATTAGAAAAATAGTCAAAAATGACTTGCAATATGTAAAAAACTTGAAGATTCTGTAAGTAAAAATAAGAAAACTATGCTATATTCATGTTGTGGTGAATTTTAATATGCAATCCTATTGCATTTTAAATAATAACTACAATAAGATAGCTTCAAAGTGGAATTTTATTCGAAATGTAAGGCTATTTAACTATGATTTACTGGCAATGAAGTTATTTAGTTAAGAACGAAATTTCTCAGATTGAAGGAAATGCTTTTGAAAATCTTCAAAATCTAGAGAAGCTGTAAGTAAATTAATCGTGCAAATATGTATCTATTAACATATTAATAGCTTTAAATTAATTCGAGTCATTTTACAGGTTATAGCTATAACCACATACTTAATATCTAAAGAGTTCTTATTACATAATTTTTATTTCGTATTTCATATTTGTAATCATGAACTTATAATTCAATTCAGCAATCTATCCTCTAATCCTTTATCACAACTTCCGCCCGATACTTTTAATGGTTTACATAACCTATCTTTTCTGTATGTAAATCATCAGATCCATTGCAAATATCTAGCTTACGTATTTATTTAATTCAATTCCATTTGGTAATTATATTTATAGGGTGTTAAACAGCTGTGAAATCAAAAATGTAACCTCCCTATTTCATGATTCATTATCTAACTTAAAATACTTGTAAGGCAGCTTAGATATTTCATTACAACGATTAGATATTCGATTTATAGATATTCAATTCATTAAAGATTTGTAAGAAATTTGATATAATTGTAGTCATAGTGCGCTGTTAAATTTTCTTTATCCAGGTCCTTAGCCAACAATCATCTTGATTCTGTTCATAGTGGAATTTCTGGTGCATTAAAATCTCTAGAATCTTTGTACGTGTATGCCATACAGCGATAAACATGAATTATAATACGTATGCACAATATAGATTGTATCAATACAAGCGTTTGGATGCATTATTTAAGTTAAATTTTTCTTTTCTGTATTTTTAAACTACCTTACCTTACATGGAAGAATATTGGACAATAATCATTTGGTATCGTTTGGCGCTCATGAACTTGAAAACTTTACAAACATAAAGTTGATGTTAGTCTAATTGTGATACTTATACCAACTTTAATCTCAACATTATAATAAGAAATTGTAGACTCGATAATTAAAATTGTTTCCTCTAATTTAGATCTCTTAGTAATAATAAACTAAGAGAAGTCCATTTGCTTCCTTTCTTCAAAATTAGAAGTTTGAAACATTTGTAAGTGCAATTTGATCAAATTGATAACCAATTTAGATTATTGTTTACAAATGACCGGAAAGTTGATGCAGTAGTTTTCTTTATAAGGCGATTTTTTTTTCATCCTGTTAAAACCAATCTCATAACAAGTTGCCACAACTCAGTAGTTGGAAGGAACAAGAAAAATTTAAGTTAACTTAAGACACAAACTCAAGTTATGAACTAAAGTCGTTAACAACAGTTATCTTTATTTCAAGAAAAACTCTAGTTATATAGAAAAGTAAACGTAAACCTGTTAATATGGCAATCTCTATCTCTTAATTCAGTGTTCATTATCCTAGTAAATACTCGTATGTAAGCAGAATTTCCTACATTATCCCACTTTTTCTAAAACTTTTGTCTAGAACAATGTTTGGCGACCATAATATTCAATATTTAATCATAATCATAATATCAAAATACTCTAATTACGATTTTACTAATTCAGTATCAATAAAATATCGGTATTACCAACTATATAAAGATCTTCTATTAACTCCGTAACAACTTAGACGCCTTTGCTTTTACGTTATAGGACTGAAGATTTTATCTTATTTAATAGTCTGCCCAGCTTATATACTCTTCGGCAGCAGTTAATATTGATAGATCATCTTTACATTCTCAGAGTTAATTTTTACTTAGCTACTGAATTAATACAACAAGATTCACAGTCATAGACATCTACTGGCCAATCCTAGATAACTAGACTACAGTATGTCTATATACACAAAACCATTTATAGATGATACAACTTCTAATGGGTTAATTATCAAGACTACAATTACAAGAGGTAGTCCTGTAGTCTATTAATCTCCATTACTATTTAAGAAATCTTATTACAGTACAGCATGTGATTTACTGTGGCTGATCATAACTATGGTGGTTCCTAGTGCAAGTACTTTCTTGTAATCACTATATATAACTTTTAAAATTCACAAAGTTTAGCTATCTGTTATTTACGGTAGTACTTACCATTCTGTTCTCCTATAAAACTGTTTTACATTTACTATATATAATTATATTAATTACTGTCTTGGTGACATGCTACAAGTAGTGGCATACTAACACATTTTAACGCTTGAAATAGCTACCGTGTTGCCGCGGTAGAGCCTTTATCGTGAAATGCCTACTTACCGTGTTGTTTATGCCTATTGCAATTGTGATGAGGTGTCTTCTCAAAAATACAACAAGAACTACAGTTTCTTGTAAATTTCACTTTGTTTCATAAGATCAGGTTCCTCTTACAACTACCAAAGACTATCTACCTACAATCAGACTATCTCTGGACTATTTGAATTGTTATAGCAATATTAACGATATATATAAAATTAGTAACACAATAATATTCCTTCAAATAGAATCATATCTTGCCAATTAAGTCATGAAATCATATCTAAATCTACTATCGTGCTATCAATTCATAATTTACGCATCCAATTGAAGCGTCATAATGCACGTCTCAAAGTACTAACATGCTTAGCGTAATCTATTATTATCTCAGAATCTTAATATAAGCATCTCAATGGAATTACTACAATACGTACTGTTAACATCTTCGATAATTAGATACCTATGCAATCTTACATTATAGCGTACAATTCATCTTTTTTCGCACAATCCTATAATCTTAGTCGTATGCTTATTTGGGGCTGCACTACATGTATATGCCTCATAAAATAGAGTATGGGAGCATTTCAAATTCTAACAGTAATGTATAAGCGAAGTGAAGGCTTACACCTTCGTAATTGAAATAAAAAATAATTTTTATACCGTACAATTAATTAACTTTGACTGAGCTTAAGAGAAGTCTATATTAACAATATTTGGATGAGTTGTCATCACTTGATTCGACAGCTCATCTAAATCTATTTGTTTTATCTGCATTTCAAGTTTCACTATGAATTTAGCGTAAGAGATTGGGAGAAAGTTTAGCGCTGTCTGTAGTTAGTTCAAATTATTTCTCGTTCATAGCAGTAACCATTCTAGTATTTCTTTAACTGTTAATAATTTTCGTCATATTTAGAATACGTTTAGCATTGACTCTTTACTACGTAGCTTCAGAGGATTATTCCTAAAAATTTTCAGAAATATCGAATAGCAATCTATTTATGTCTGATCAACCGGTAGAGCGTTGAGTTTTTTAGTGAAGAATAGGATCAATACTGCTATACGAGTATTCTTTAGTCGTCTGTGTTACAATCGTATGAAATTCTTCTAAGGCATTTTATTATACACTTCTGTGCTATATTTCAAATACTTTATAAATGATATTTTCTAATGCATTATTAAGTTAATATTGATGCTTCTCTTTTTAAATTTGATGTTGTCATTAGAAAATTATCTAATGTAGGAACAATCGTATTTGATGACCATGTGGAAAGCATTCACTCGAAACTGATATCTCTGTAAGTATTATCGTATCATAAGCCGAAAATGTATGATGTATACTGCAGTATACATGTATCCTCCACTCTCTCTATCGCCTGATCGGCTCAAATTCTGCTAGATGGAATCTGCAGGAGATTGTAGAAACCGCATTTTGGTCCCTAGATTATACTATTAGAGAATAAATATACTCGTATACGGCTACCCTTCGTAGATACCATCTAAGCCAATGTAGCTAACTTAAGTTATCCAGGCAAGTTTTGTACCAAACTTTGCTTCCACTATCCATAATCATGGTAGTTTAACAGTGACGTACAATACAATACCTAAAGTCTGTCGTATTCATACTTTAATGCAACAGTAAGATAGTAATCATAATGGATATATTCCGATATTAGCATAGTAATTATTAAATGATGTGCATCAGAGAGCAAGATTTAGTTAGACATCTTTGCTGTAATTTAATTTATTCGTAAGTATTGAATTTATTAAAAAAGGTACTAATTTTTGGAGTAACATCGTTTTTAAATAATAATTGATAATGAATATGCTCCTAGTACAACATATTGCACGGATGTGGCCAATTTTTTTCTAATCGTGATCACGTATTATCACTCAAAATATTCAGTCTTAGTTAAAATCCAGCTTAAACATAGAGTCCGATTCAAAAGAGACTGATCGCAGAGTTGCTATTAAAACTATTAAATTCATGTTCCGATCTAATTCACCGTAAGATTGGCAATGGTCATTTCCGTTTCACATAACAGTATAAGGAAGAATTAATGTTGATGGAATTTACTTATAAAAATATATCAGGTTATAGATAATTAACATGATTCGTAATTTTTTTGAATTAATTACGACATTTAGAGATTTAAGCTATAACAAGATAAAGTCAAATGTTGATTCGTGGTCTTTAAGACACCTAAATGAGCTTTACTCGCTGTAAGTAATGATCAATGTTACTTTGATATATCACAAGCGCCATATGTTGCTCTAGCAATATCCACCAATTATAGTAGTAATATGTTTCTAGCTGTAATAGGAATATGAAGTAAAACACAATATTATGTAGAATAGTCGGTCATACTCATATATTAATCGTAAATGAAGGCTGGTAAGATAAAACAGTATTCTTTTACTATTTGTGCTAGTGGGGTGTACTTAAAAAAGGTTAAAATCTAATTCATTACAGATAAATATTGGCTATCTTGCCTTACGATTTAAATTTAACCTAAACTTTCTTCTTCTTAATCACTAAAACTGCAGCTATTGATGTAATGATTTTGCAGATAATTTTGTGAATGGTTAATTTCATTCATCGATTTAATCAAACCCTTTTCAATAATACAAATACTAGTGTGTCAATATCTATTTAAGATAAATAATCTAAAAGGGGCGTATTTCGATGAATAATTAACATCTCATCAAGTCGCTGCTGCGCATAAAGGTTTAATTTCACGATTTATTTTTATTCTAGTGATATATCTGGAAACAAATTCAAATACTTTCGTCTAATATTTGAAGATCTATTGAGAAAGAAACTGCGAGTAATGTACGTATTCATCTATGAAAGCTGCTAAGTAAGATTTCAGTAATAAATAGATTTATACATGAAGTTGAGTTATCTGCATGGTAATCTTAGATGGAAAAATATATATGTAATCGAAGGTGTAAGCATTGTTCAGTGTAACTAGTCTTCAACAAGAATTTTAATTGATAATGCTTTTCATAATTACGCGTATAATCGAAAGATCAGGTATAGGATTTCATCTGATGAGTTACCTAAGTGTGCTATCATGATGATATGATGTTGCTTGTATTATTATTTTAAAACTGTTTTGGTGGCAGAACCAGCAAAGTGTAGACTTTAGAATTTCCGTACATCTCTTCATTGCAGTGCGTAATATTGACTAGGCCTGCAAATAATGATAAGCAAACAGTGTTTTACTGCAGCAGCGCTGCAGTTATTCCACCACTGCCTTTTAATTTTGTAATTATTTCATCTATCCAAGCAAATTGGCTAATACTGATGCAACGGTTGACGAAATAGAGAAATCCATCGAAATACAAGTTCCTAGATGTTATGGTGAGGGTACGCATGTCGAAGGCGTTAGACCTAGCTGTAACTACGATTTGTAAGTCTGATGAGTTATTGATTTTTATTCTATCTTGCAAAACCTGTGAAGAGTAACTATTGTAAGCTATATGCAACTTAATTATATCATGATTGTTACAAATACAATGCTTGTAGTGAGAAATGTGTCTAATCAATAACTGTAATAATGCTGACAAGATTCAAAATTCTATGTAATCATAATTATGTGAACATGGTCTTAAATTAACTTCTGTCTTCTGCTTGTAAATATAGTAATTTTAGCAGATTGAATTGGACCAAACTGCCTAAAGTATTGAGAATTTATGGGCAACATCTGCAAAATCTGTAAGTATATCTCATAAGCTATACAGGTATTGTACAACCATAATACTGTCTTTTCGTCCGATACAAGATTTTATATTGATTTCATAAATACCTATATTCGTTTCTATAATAGTCGCAAATTTTCTAATAATATAGTCATTCTTCGAGAAATGAAACTTATGTATACATTATGACTATTTCTCCTTATATTATTGTCAAAACTATAAAAATTGTATTCATGAAGAATCGAAAGAATTTTAAAGATGTAATAATTTAATACCTGTAATGGTATACTAATTTTTAACTCTAACTTACGGTTTCAATTATTAGCTATTTAAGCTAGCACCGTCTTTTTTAGATTGATTCGCAATTTTTCGATTTAAAAAAGTATAAAGATTCTGCACTTAATAAATATCTTTTCAATATTTTATAAGAAATCTAACCAGAAACAACCTACGACACTTCGATTTTGGATTTATATTTTCTTGCAGCGACCAGGGATTACATCATCTGTATGCAATAAGATATTATTAATTATAATATTATTTGTAGAACATTGATTAAAGAGTAGAAAACGAAATTTACAATTGTCTTAGTGTAAAGGATATTATAGATATCCGGAAGAAATTAGATATAATAGATAAATATTTCCGTATGCGTGTACACTAATTTACGCTTATCTATATAGGCACCTGAGAAGCAACAACCTAAATTCATTAACAAATGTCCGCAAAATTACACTATTAAGTTTGAAATCGATGTAATTATTACAGAGAAGTTTTATTTATAACCTATAATTAGAATTTGGAGTGCAAGTACTGTACTTAAACTTTGATTAATATTGCTTTTTAAATAAATTACATATATTAGAGATTTATCCAACAATAATTTAACAAATATATGTGAGATTCCATGGGCTACTTTTGCTGAAAACTTAGAGATGACGTAAGTCGTGATTACCAATTATTCTATTTAGTGCTGTTACCATTATCTCTGGTAGCTTGGTAATATAATAGCAATAGCCGCCATTATAAGTTCGTTAAGATTTATTAGAAGGAATGTACAGTACATATCCTTGTTCTTATTCTTTTATAGTAATGTTACGATTACCTAATACTTCATTATGAATGGCTACTCGAAAAACATAAAATTAAAGATAAATGATCGTATAAGAGAGTAACAAGTTGACATAAGCCGCGCTTTAATATGTACCTTACAGTAGAAAGTTGGAGTAAACACTGAAGGGTTATTACACTTATATTTATGATTAAGAATAGTCTATTTCTAATGAAATGGAATACCACAGTATTTGTAATCGCAATACTAACCAATTTATTACTCCTATTTATTTGATAAAAATACGATATCGAATCGATATCTTGATGATTCTTTTGTATTTAATAAAGGGACTTTAGTTGGAACAATATTAAGATATTAACAGCTACCTGTTTTAAAGGTTTAAAGAGGCTTACCAATATGTAAGTACGGTAACATATTTTAAAGTCACTAAGCATCGTGACAATTTACCACAATTAATGATTAGTATCGTTCTAATGTTAATGATATAACAATATAAGGTACCTTATCATAATAATACATGAACTGTTCTCTAAGTTGTAAACTCTTAATCTCGTCTTGCCCATCTATTTCCAGATTAATGCAGGGAAATTCATTAGTTGAGATTAAAAAGGAATCATTCTTTTATACACCTCTACTTAAACATATGTAAGTGCCATTATGATCTGTAAAAGTGTAAAATTCTGATATTACACGCTAAATGAAACTTTTATAACGCTATGATTAATGCTCCCGTTGGAACTTTTTCCTTCCTTATCTTGATTATCTACCGTATAACTATAAATACGTCTTATGGAAAAATAACCGTTTTCGTACTGATAATCAGCTTGTAGTATACTGTCATACCATAGAGACTTGGTTGATACTAATCAAATTAAATAATTTTTCGTGAGCAAATAATCTCTTTAAACTTAGAGATTGAAAAAACTGATCAATTATTGAATTATATAAACTCAATTTTATGTATTTAATCATTAAAGAAGTTATTTGCTATCAGTAACTACTTCACAAAATCTCTCCCACGTTGTACACTCTCCGCATAGCCCCCCCTCCCACCCAGCCCTATTTACATAAAACCTTTTTGCTCAACAAAATCTTCATATGCTAAAAACGATTAACAAGTAAAGGGAAATTTACTATTAAGTAGTTCCTAATGCTATATCTTTCACAGATTTACTTATTGACTTTTTATTATAAGTAACGAATCAAGACATTAAAGTATAGATAATTTTGAATCTAATATTAGCATTAAATCTAACTAATTACGAAATATACTACTACTTTACAGACGCTCAACACGTTTATACTTGTGTTGTATGGTACCAGCATCTATCCAGACTTGTTATCCATTGCGGAAATACGATGGCCTATCGACATGTGATGGATTATTATCTCATGTAACACTGCAAATGTATATTTGGTTAGTTGGTTGTATCGCTTTTATTGGTAACATTGCCGTCTTTACTTTACATATTAAAAGTATAAAAACAAAGAAGAATCCTGTTCCAATATTTCTAATCGCAAATTTAGCTATTTCTGACTTTATTGTTGCTAACTATTTGTTAATTATTGCTATTGGTGATCGATTCTATAGTCATTATAATTTCGCTGTCGAATCTGAGCACTGGCTACGTAGTATACCATGTTTACTTGCTTGTTTTATATGTTGTGCAGCAAGCCTGATGTCGGTCTTTATGATGCTAATTATTAGTATCGATCGATATGTTTGCATCGTTTATCCTTTCTCTGAACGAAAATTAACAGTTAAATCGGCGTTCTTATTAGTTGCATGTTGTTGGCTATTTTCAATTATCTTTGTTGGTATTCCAGTTATGTATAGCGTTGGCGCTGATGGAGATAATCGATTACATGGATACAGTAGTATATGTATGGCTAGTAATGTTTCTAATCCATACTTTAAATGGTGGATTACAGCATTTACACTTATTACAATTATCTGTTGGATTATTACATGTATTCTATACGGTAAAATGCTAAGTTCTATTCGTCAATCAAGTCGTAATGTACGCAAAAGTAAAAGTATCAGTAAAGATAAGCGTATAGCCATACGTCTATTCTTAATATTAGTCACCGATTTAATCAGTTGGATTCCTTATTACATTGTATTTATGCATGTTTTATCTACATCGCATTCGGTTGATATGATAGCTTTGCAATTTACCATTATATTTGCTTTACCAATCAATTCTGCGGTGAATCCATGCTTGTATACACTATCGAGTCAATCCCTTATCAATAAGATTAACAGAATTGGTGGCGTTTTTCAAGGGGCATTGAAATTGATACGAAACAGTATGCAATCCTCTGAAGATCTAAGCGATTTATCGGCCAACAATAATAGAATGAAACCCCATACGAAAACAACTCATGTATTCCGCAGATATAACACACGGGCTAGCATTAATATCGGAAGGAATATGTCATCGAAAATATAGAATAGCTTATTCTACTTAATTCTTTCGTTTACGTATTGCCTTATTGCTTGATCTTTATGAAACTAAGAACATAGTTAAGGCTACGTTCAGGCTATAACATTGCCTGTTACGATTTTTCTTTGAACTTATTTCTATGATCATTTTAAATTACACGATAAGCGTAATGCACTTTGTCGATACAAAATTCTAAAGGAAATTATGTACTGATTTCATGGAATCTAATGTAGTTTGAGTTTAAATTTAAAATATTCATATATGAAATGTAACTTTGTTCCGCAATTACATCAACGTCCATAGACTTTGCAATTTCGGCGATATCCAGTTCTTTAGCATAACATCTTGCGTAATAATCTTCAATAAGGTAGTTTAAATTCGGAGTATTTGTATATGGAATCTAACTTTGTTCTTTCGTTGTATAATCTATTATAATCCGACAAGACATGATTACTCCTAATGCAACGTGCCCATGAAATTGATAGACTTTGTAATTTCGTTGATATCAAGTTCTTTAACATAACATTTTACGTAATAATCATCAATAAGATATTTTAAGTTCAGAGTGTTCGTGTATGGAATGTAACTTTGCTCTTTAGTTGTACGATCTATTACAATCAGACAAGATATGCTTCCATCTAAAAGTGTAATTGTTAGACTTTGTAATTTCGTTGATATTTCATTCTTTAATTAAGTTCAGTATAACATATTGCATGATAATTAATCATTAATAAAATACTGTAGGTTTCTTCCATCTTAAATACATATTTTACAAAGGTATGCACTGGTGAGTACATCTTGTGATACTCGTAAGTTACAACATACCAATGGTTATAATGAAGTCTAAATTTGTTCCTAGTGTTGACGTCAATACTCGCATATACAGTCTGTTTAGGGATATTTTTAATGGCTAGTTTTACTTTCATTCAAGATTATGGTTTACATGCCTCAGTGCTCTATAAGGATTAGATTCTAATACTATATAAATAAAAGATTGAAAAAAAATTTCAAGTTTACATACCAGGCTCTAACAGTAATTAGAGTTGATTAACTAACTATTGGCGAGTATGCAATCAGTTTTAATAAAAGTTTCAAGGTTTGTATAGAATATCATTTCTACCAGTGGAAATTGAACAGTCCATCAGAGTATTAGAGTACAATGTACGTTAAAAAACAGTAGGAACTTAGCTTATGTCACATTTATAAGTCAAAACTCGAAAATTTTATACGGTATTAAGGCAGATCTTACGGTGGTTAAAGAACCACTTGTCAACTGCCGAGTGATCCATTTCTACGAAGATCCACCGTCTCGTTCCGGAAATCAAAGCTATACTACATTACCATCAAATGATCTCTGTAACGTGGACAACTGAAACTACTACCGTTAGTCCCACAATAACTTACGAACACAACACTTGTAGAGTAGACTAGTCCAAAGTTTTATTACAATTATGGAAACAAGCGCAGCAACATACAGTATTCTCGTTTCCAAATCACGTACAACATCCAGTTTTGACGTATATTCATTGAAAATTTCACAAGAATAGACCCAAGTTCGCTGGTTGTCCTATCCAATAAGGGTCCCACCCGAAATTTAGATCGACGATTTTGGAGAGAAGTACAGTATTACAATTTAATTCACTCATAATCATTGGATTCGGTTAGCAAGGCTAAAGGTTACGAGGACGGAAAGTTTCAGATCGTTTGAATTGGGGGTGTTGTAAATATTGAGTATATTGAGGGCGGCTGCAGATTAAAAATTTGACCCATTTTATACCTTAATTAACTTCGCTATTGTAGCTGATGGTAGCTCGCAATAATGTACAGTGTCTACTACTCTCAAGATACCTTATTCGATCGAGAACTGTGGAAGATATCCAGCTATGATCAAACGACAGTAAGAACAACACACGTTAGCCTACGATTGCGCTGTGATCCTTGTTAATAAAGCAACATTACGGTAAACAGGTAAACAAATTCGTTTAGCAATACTTGATACGTGCGTTGAACGCTGATTTCTATTTACAGCCATTAAACCAAGTTAAAACCATGCCATCCTACTGCACTCTATACGTACGCGCAATATGGTATCGCGAATCAGACATTACTGTATCACTGTTCGAGGCCTCAGCTACATCTACTGAAACTATGTTGTCATGATTACAGTAATAAAGTAAGGTAAAATTGCTTTGCAAATTAGTCAATCAAAGACTATATTATTAACGTGCAGCTGCATGGTAGTACACAATGAAAGATTGAGACTATTTGCCTTTACCTGTATACTGTACAGTAAAATAATGGCCATTGAGCTAAGAGAAATGCCTTTGCCTATACAGTACTGTATTCCAAAACTGTGAACTGAACTTGACTGTGGGTTGGATTCGAACAATTAAACGGTCACCTACGGACAAGCAGTTCGGACGGACTTTCACCAGTTGAAATTGACAGTACAGTGCACACAGTACAGTACTGTACTGTACAGTACTACAGACGAGCATTTCGGACGGACTTCCACCAGTTGCAATGGACAGTACAGTGAGTGTACAGTGTACAGTGTACAGTACAGTAACGTACCGTACAGTACTGTACTGTAAACATAATACTGTACTCTACAGTCCATACAGTACAGTACAGTACTGTACAGTACAGTACCGTACAGTACCTCGACTTCTACAGTACTGTACTGTACTGTACTGTACATGTCCGACAAATCTATTTCGCGGCGTCCGGCACTTTTAAAAGGCAGCGATCTGGCGGGAAAAGTAGAGTGTTTTGCAAAACACACCACATGCCTATTGCAGCTTTGTCGATATTGCGTTGATGAAAGCTCAAGGTAAAAGTAAAATGGTCAATACTCTCTTGTCTTATTTTACACGTATATCGCCTAAATCAGAGACACCCAAATCTCAAACACCTGCTAATAAAAGAAATGAAGCCACTGGCAAGGATGGAATGAGAACTGGAGCGAATAATAATCCTATCAGTAGTGCTGGTCATGACAAGCAAGGAAGCCAAGGTGACGATTTGCACCTATTTCAAGTGGTGTGGTCCAGACTAGAAGGTTATCCATGGTGGCCTAGCTTAATTTGCAATGATCCTGATACGATGCAATTTTGTAAAAAGAAGAAAAATGACGACAGCTTTTGGTACCATGTTCAATTTTTCGATAATCCTCCAAGTCGAGCCTGGCTTTCTGCCAAGTAAAATAATGCTCTATTTTGTGTCAATAACTGTAGTAGACTTTTTCCATTGGAGGATGGTCTTGCACCATCGCAACGGTGGCATAACACATTGCATGAACAATCTAATGAATTAGTAAAGCCAAATGTACATCATTCAATATCGTCTTTAGGTAGTTCCAAGAATTGTCCGTGACATAGTTCAAGTCTTTGATGACTAGCAGTTCATTGCATTAGATTGATCTCCAATTGTTACAATTACTACGTTAAATTTAGAATCTTGTTTGGCACGGTTGATAGGACGTCTAGCTCACCCGATTTTTCGTTAGTTGTTGCCCAACGATGAAAGAATGGCTCTCTTCAGCTTAGCCAAATCGAGCGTACTACACGTTACTTGATAGTTATTATCTTGCAAAGAATAAATCGATGCTAAGTAAACTTGCTATTAAATTGATTTGAGCTGTTCTACTCTACACTGATTTCCTTTGCACTAGTTGCACCTATACCGTAATTTGCAGAGTCTAGACAAGCGTTACACTTTCTTGCTATGTCGGTAGAGCAATCGACATGGGTTACGTGATCAATAATGAACTTCCAACTTTTACATAGGGACATTCAAAACTTTAGTGTCAATGATAAGCATGATTTCGATACTGGCCGAAGCAGATTTACTTCTCGTGATCCAAACGTGATAAAAGCCGTAAAGAGCGCGAATGAGGTTATGAAAACCCCGGCAGATCAAAGAGAAAAGTATTTAGCTACTTGGTCAGAAGACTTTGCCGACAGTGATAGCGATGCTGAGTGTTTAATGGCCATGGACATCGATGAGCCTCAAACAGCTCATCGCGACAATAACAACGATGCTGATAGTGATAATGATGAGGATGATATTAATGCTACAGTAAGTTTTAGAAGATTGTGTACATATTAAGACTTTTATCACTATTTTAAGAATGCAGGACTTAATGATTCAATTTTTCATCGTAGATTCGGAGTAAAAGGAACGCAGATAAGACGGCCGGAAAGAGATCAGCTCGTAAAAGGCTGCGGATGTTGGACGATTCCGATTCTGGTAAGTTAGCATCGGCTTAATGTAGTATTGTGTCAATGAGTCATCATACCGATTGAATTGGTTTGCTCGATAAATGCCACTAACAGCTAAAAATGCTTTCGGTATAAGATGCTTACGTTCCCAGTCAAGAAGAAGATAGCTCTAGCAGTAGCAGTGGTGATGAAGAAGTCGATGATATATCTACGCCAGATGAAGATGAGGTGCGTTGTATTATCACTCGCGATGCACCCTAAACGTAATTGTTGCACACTTTCGTCAGTGATAAGTATTGTAGTGGCAATGCAAGCAATTATTGCTATTTCTACGGTTGTACTGATCAACCTTATATTTTTAGGAAGAAGATGTTAATATACCTTTGAAAAAAAGAAACACTAAACTATCTCAATCACAATCAAAGCAATCTAAATCACCTGCAAATCGATCGAAAGTAATAGATGCAGAAAACTTCGAATACCAAGGATCAAGTAATAAGTCTGCATCAAGTACGAACACTGCTACAACAGCTAATCGAAACAATAGTAGTCCGAAGAGTTCTAGCCCTCCCGCAAATCGCAACGTTAATGCTGTAAGTTAAAAATTAGACTGCTTACTTATGATGTTGTCTAATACATAACGAAAATCGTGTAATTCGTGGACCCATTTCGATATTACAGTTAGATGATGGCAATGATAACTATATTCACCAAGGGTTAAAGTGGATGCAAGATGGATTTCGAAAGTACGTCATATTAAATTAATTAATTATCAATGTAGCACAATAGTCGTAGATGCCTACCTGTATTTTACCTATTTTTGATTTCATTGTATGTGTATTGATTCTCTAGAGATTCTAAGGGTCGCCTTCAATCTGATCCAGAATACGATAGTCGAACTCTTTGGGTATGCAACATTGATATTTATTACATCTTGAGGACAGCTGACAGTAAAAACATAAATCGTATTGTTTGTTTTAATCTCTGATATTAGTTACCTTCTGGCTTCTTAAAGGAACAAACTCCGGTACGTACAAGTAATATTTTGCCATTTTGATCTTAAATACTTAGCTTAGTACGGTACAAGGGCACGCGATGTCATAGTGCGATTATATGCAATGTAGATTTTGTCATCTTCTTCTCGTGTCTATTAACTTCTTACTGAACTTCTCGTATTTAGCTAATGAGACAATGGTGGCAAATTAAATCAGAGAACTTTGATTCAGTATTGTGCTTTAAAGTAAGTAATGAATACCTTCAGTTTAATAATATAGCAAGTGATACTACTATTTGTATTGCACGTATGCAGGTGGGGAAGTTCTATGAAATGTATCATATGGATGCTTTAATAGGCATATCTGAGTTGGGATTAATACTAATGAGAGTAAGTTGAATAATTTGTACATTTTGTAACAGCGTAGTTCCAACCAGTGGTCCAGTATATAATATAATTAATGGCCAAAATTCATTCATTTATACCATAATAGTAATCATTCGATCTATTTTCTTAAAGTTTTGTACAATAGTAATTTGTAAAGAGGTATCCGTATAATTTTTAGGGAGGAGCTCAAAGTTCAACGGCCGTAGCGCATTGTGGATTCCCTGAAATCGCCTTTTCAAGATATGCGGAAACTCTTGCTCAAAGAGGCTATAGGTTCATAAACGAAATAATGTGTAATTTTATAACTATTGATTTGAAGCTGTTATTCTCAATCTCGTATATATGTGCTTAAATAAATATTTCTAACGATAGAGTTGTTCGAGTGGAGCAAACCGAAACACCACAGATGATGGAAGAAAGAGTTAAAAGCTGTAAGGAACAACACATTTTACAGTTTATAATAAATTCCAATACAAAATGAATCGTTTACAAATGAAGTGATCTTTCTTAGGTTATTTCATTATTATTATTATTCTATAGTAGCTACTCGCCCAACAAAGTTTGATAAGGTTGTCAACCGAGAAGTTTGTGGTAGAATTACAAAAGGTAGATAAATAGCTTGTTAACTGTTTTCGTAGTGATGCACATGATTCATTAAATGATGTGTTAATTAGCTACCCGAACATTCAGTGTTCAAAATTATGAAGATCCAAATTCTGAAAATGCATTTCTTTTGGCTATCATAGAAAGAGTAAGTTTAAAACCAGTCGATGTTTAGTGATTGGCAATTATTGCTACTTCTGGATTTATCCAGCACTTAAAAAATTATTTAACTTGATAAAATTCTACAAAATGGAACTAGGAAAGAGATGATCTTGCAGTCGGTCACAGCTTACTCGGTGTTTGCTTCCTTGACACAACTATTGGAAAATTTCACGTATGTAAACATCTGGAATGCTAAATTCATAAAAACTAAGATTTTTAACAAAGCTGTTGTAACAACTTATGTGTCCTATAGCTTGGTCAGTTTACTGATGATCGACAGTGTTCTCGATTACGGACCTTAGTAACGCACTTTCAACCGGTTCAGGTAAATTTAAATGACAATATATGCATATAATGTATATTCTATTTAGAATCGTACTCTAATAAATAAACAATTATGGGTACAACAGATATTGTATGAACGTGGAAAAGTCTCTAGTAAATTACAGCATATATTCCAGCACGATTTGCTATCCGCAATGAAGGATGCCCTTGCTCCTGGTAAAGTAAAAATAATAACCAAATGTTTGAGGTTGAAAGCGATACGATAGCAGCTAATTTAGTTTTTAATCGTGTCGTTCTTGTTATCGAACAGGATCCGAATTTTGGGATAGTAACAACACTTTAAAAATTTTATCAGAAAAGAGCTATTTTACTAAAGATGGAAACGAGGCTGATGATGCTTCGTTGGATACCTGGCCAGAAACCTTACGAAATTTTGTTGAAGGTATGATAGTTCTTACTATTTCACGTTATGGTGACTAATATTTTAAAATTTTTGCTACTAATTCATTATTGTTATTGCTACAGGAGACGGATTTGGTATTACTGCTAAGGAAGATTACGATCTCACTGTCAGTGCTTTGGGTGCCTCCATCTGGTATGAGAATTTTGAAGTGTGATGTCCATCATTATGGTAATTAAATTTCGTAGTAAATTTAAGCCTTTACTTCATTAGGTATCTTACGAAATGCTTCTTGGATTATGATTTGATGTCTTTGAAAAATTTTGAGGTGAATTTTCTCAATTTATTGCATATTGTTTGCAATTTGTTCTTCAACTTTAAGGCTGTAATTAAAAGTATTACGCGAGTCTTGATGAGAAATTTGCTATTTTTAAATAGGAGTACGTCCCGCCTGATGCTCCATCGCCAGATCGTCTTGTAGCTGGAAATATTCTAAAGCATAAACATATGGTTAAAATTTATTTTTACGATTAGTAATATTGTGATCAATTTTTGAAATTATATATTATTGTCCTTTAGATTCTAGATGCAGTTACTCTCATAAATTTAGATATTTTACCGACAGCGAGTGACTCTGGTCTTCGTGGTACTTTGCTGGAAAAGCTTGATTATTGCGTTACACCTACGGGTAGATGAAATAATAGCATGTTGTACTTATCCATTCTTGACATGGCAAAAGTTAAAATGGTAAAATACAAATTTTACCTTTTATTAGGCAAACGATTATTCAAGCACTGGCTTTGTACACCGTTGTGCGATCCGGTTTTAATCAATGACAGGTTCAGATTTTTGAATTGTCCATTATTCTTTATGTACAATTTGTGTCTAAATGAAGCCTTTGACTCTTGTGCTTTCAATTTATGGATGTATAGGCTTGATTCTGTAGAAGACTTGATGGCTATGTCTTCGGCAGTATCTGACTGTTTAAATACCCTGCGAAAAATCCCTGATCTCGAAAAATTAATTAACAAGTACTGTACATAGTTCTTCCGTTGTTTATTAATTTTAGTATAAGTTGCAAATACTGTACACGATGACTCCTTAGTAACGAAGCTATGATTCTTTTGATGACAGAATACATAGCCTTGGTTCCTCCCGAAGAAGTAATCACCCTGATAACAAAGCTATCTTTTTTGAAGATACCGCGTATAGGTTTGTGAAATGTTATCTTTATTTATTGTTTTCGTAGTACTTGTTCGCGTCCCTAGGGCACTAATGAGACACTTAATGTTCTCTCGAACTCTAGTAAAAGAAAAATTTTGGAATTCATATCTGTAATTAATGGTTTTAAAACCCTATTACAAAGCATTGAATCTTTACAAACCAACCGAGATAAGATGAAGTAAAGCTCTTGAATTATTGCACTTACATCGAAAATGTTAATATTTAGGCAATGTAACTAGAACACTACTTTCAGATCTAGGCTGCTATTGCAAATTATCACTTATACCGGCGAGAATTTTAGCGGCATTAAGGGAAAGTTTCCTCAATTGTTGGAGTATATACAATTCTTTCAGGTATTGTTTGTAAATGTTACTGTAGTGAACAGTCACCGTTTTAAGTAACGTGATCAATTATAAAATGTTGGCGTATTTATTTAGAAAGCATTTGATCATGAGCAAGCAAAAAAGGATGGTAAAATAATACCTAAACCGGGTACGATACTAAGTGTCCAAAAATCATGACATCTAAAAGTTTGATATCTGCTCTGAATTAACAACGTAGTAAATTAGTCTGCCACCATCGGAGACGGAAATGGTTGCAATAACTGTACAAGTCATTTTTTCTTCGTATCAGATAGTAAAACTTTTTTAAACAGCGAATGTGGAATGCACTTATTAAATTTCAATACACAGGTGCTGATCCTGAGTACGATGATGCCATTCAGTCCATAGCAGAAATTAAGCAAGAACTTGAACATTACCTTGATTCACAAAAAAAGAGATTAAATTGTCGTGTAAGTATAATGTTGTTAACTTTCGTAGAGATAACGTATGTAGATGTATTCAATTAACTTTTGATTTGGGCTGATATGAAACGATATGCAGAACATTCGATACTGGGGACAAGGGCGCAACCGATATCAGATAGAGGTGCCTGAATCAGTGCTATCACGATATACACCAAACGACTATGAATTGAGATCTCGCAAAAAGGGTTTCAAGCGATTTTGGACCGGCGATATATTGAATTTAATAGAAAGCCTAACGAACGCTGAAGAAAGGCGAGACGCAGCTTTGAAAGATGCGATGCGAAGGATTTTTCTGAAGTTTGACGAGTAGTATGTTGATATAAAGTTTTAGACTTGTAATTTTGCTGTAATCAAGCAGTGTTGTTTTTGAATGCGTAAGTATCAAACTTATTTTTAAAATTCATGATTTAGCTATGAAAATTGGAACGTGGCGATACAATGCGTAGCCGTGTTGGATGCGTTATGTAGTCTGGCATCTTACAGGTTAGATAGACGTAATACAGTATGCCAGATAATAACTGTTTTAATACCAAAGTAAGTTAACTTAAATGTAACGTTGCAGTTCTAGCATTGAAAGCGAGAGTTGCCGACCAAAAGTTGCATTCGCCGGCAATAACGATGAGGTATGTTCTAAACTGGGCATAATCCCATTTTGATGACATGTGCTATAATGTTTCAATTATCATTCCTTTAGCCATACGTAGAAATTCGAAATGGTAGGCATCCTTGCATCTCGCAAACTTTCAGTGGTGGTGATTTTATCCCCAACGATACTATCATTGGAATTAAGGATGTCAGTAATCACTCTATTCATGCTAATTTCAACTGGATATTAATCTCTATTAACTCTACTGACGATAAGATTTGTGATACTATAGTCGAATAATTGCAACGAAACTGGTAATAGTGTCCTGGTAACCGGACCAAACATGGGTGGTAAATCAACGTTGATGAGGCAGGTGGGCCTGCTGGCAATTATGGCACAGCTTGTAAGTACAGTACATACTATGTCCTCATTCTGATTTTACGGATGTTTTTGCATGGATTGCTAAGCTTATTTAGATTTTAATTTGTACTATCTGCTTATACTCAGGGTTGCTATGTCCCAGCCACTTCCTGCTGTCTATCTCCAGTTGATCGATTATTTACAAGACTAGGAGCATCAGATAGGATCATGTCAGGAGAGAGTACATTTTTTGTCGAGCTAAGCGAAACTACAACAATTTTACGACATGCAACGAAGCACTCTCTTGTTCTCCTAGATGAGCTAGGTTTGTTTATACTTCATAATCGGAATAATCATTTAGGAACATTTCTTAAAAATCTTGAATGAATCCTGTATTTATAATTCGTTCATTATGCGATAAATAGGACGTGGAACCGCAACTTACGATGGCACTGCTATTGCCGGTGCGGTCGTTAGTCATCTTGCGCATGAAATTAAGTGTCGCACGCTATTTTCAACGCATTATCACTCGTTAGTAGAAGATTTTGTATCCGATCCCAACGTTCGCCTTGGTCACATGGTAAAATTATTTCTTTTTAAGTCATTTTGTATATACTTATACATGCAGACCTCACTAAAGACGATTGACTTTAATTTTATCGGTCTTGTTACATTCAGGCGTGTATGGTGGAAAACGAAGATGATGATGATCCTAGTAAGGAGACTATTACCTTCCTATATAAATTTGTTGCTGGAGCCTGCCCTAAAAGTTATGGATTTAATGCTGCTCGCTTAGCAGGCTTGCCTGACAACGTAAGTTTGAAAATGTAAAGAATTACAGGAATAACCTTTGTGTTTTTTATAAATGAATTCTACGTTATAATCGAATTAGGTAATAGTTAAGGCAAAAAGAAAAGCAAAAGAATTCGAGAGTAGTGCTAAGAAATTGCATTTGTTCAGGTAAGCTAACAAGAAATCGTATAGAGTTGTTTTATGAGCGAAGATGATATATGTCCTAATATATGTTCTCTGTTAGATCTATCTATAATTTGGCTTCTGATTCATCCAGTGTTAAGGAACTTGTCAAATTGTGCCAGAATATGCATCTAAAGTGATACTGCTGATACGTTATCAGCTCATATTTTGTCAGTAACGATGCAAAATTTTACAAATTACTTATACTTGTACTTTAAAGCAATATACCTGTTGTGATTTTATCACTAAAATTATAAACTATATAGCTTATATCCTCTTATAAACGTTATGCACTTTATGGTTAATAAGAAATTGCAAAAAGAATATTTTAGGAATGAAAAATGTTCTGTAATGGTTAATTCCGCACGATGAGATAGACGTATATATAGTATATCCAAATAGGATAAATTGTTGATTTATTTCCGAAATACCAATGAAACATGATTCCAGCATTTTTTTGATCATTTGAATAGTAAAATCTTTAACTGATATTAGACGTACCAGTCAAGTCTATCGAAACTTGTAAACGTCTGTATATTGAACGATAACTAAATAAATGCATTAATTTGGATGGCATCCAATACTATTTATATATGACGTTATTCTCCGGCTTTTTGTCCAGTACCTATTTCTTAGACTCTTGACCTTCAAAAAGGTGGTACTTAGTAATTGTTTCTTTCCATGTTGTGAGTCCTTTAACCAAGTCTGAGACTACCTTTGGCGCAATATCCGCCTATCAATTAGGATATACAAGCAATTATAATCTTACTTTATTGCCCAATAGATTAATCAGCATTTAAACTACAAAATGTTGTTGATTACGTTTAATCTGATCTGCTGCATGGTATTTCGTTCGCGAAGTGTTACAGTGGCTGGATTATTGGTGACAGTATCGAAGTCAACTGTAATACCATAGGGGATGCCAATTTGATCTGTTCGTGCATATCGTCTACCAATAGAGCCAGCAGAGTCATCAACCTTGTTTGAAATTCCGTGCAATTTTAATTCACTAGCTACATGCAATAAAATTCGACAATAAGTTAGCGGATAACGTAATGCCTTTATGAACTTTTGTAACCAAAATTGAAATTTATAGATCCTATACTGAGTACCTAGCTGCTTTATGTAAGGATCAAATTCTTTCTTAGCACTAAGTGGAAGAACACTACATTTTACTGGAGCTACGGGAGGAGGCAAAGACAGCCACTAGAATATGAAATAGAAATACAGTGTAGAATGTAGATAATCTCAACAAAAATCTATTTGTTGGCACTTATATTTATAAGAAACTAGTAAAATATTTAGCAACAAATAATATATTGTACAGGACTAAAATTACGCGGCGCTTTTATAATTCTTTAATATACCGATCTTTGCTCATCTCCTTCTCGTATTCGAAAATTATGTTCTAGAATTGAATATAGGATACGCCCAAATCCAAACGAAGGTTCGATCACAGATGGTGTAATATCCACCACTATATACGCGCATACGTGCAAGAATACAAACGATCTAAGAGAATGAACGTTTTCAACGACAATTGTAGCAACTAACCATGAATTTCTTTCTCATAACGTTTAACTGCTATCATATCTTCGCTTATTGTTAACTTCTTCGAATCGATATCTACTTCAATTTGGCTGCAAGAAATTTTTAGAAATTTTAAATTGCTATTTACATGGCATATTAACATAATGAATGTAATCAATTTAACTTTACCTTGTATCCTTTAGCATTTTATCATATTTTTCAGCTGTATCATTGTCTAGATTACTGAAATATTGCATAATTTTCTTAGCATCGCCCTTAAACGCTTTACCTACTTTAGACTTGTTTAAGACAACTTCGACGACAGGAGTGATTTTGTAATTATTGTTAAGGTTAACTATTGAAATTCATCTTTAAATAGCAATTATTATAAACTGAATGATATTCATTAATTGTAACGGATATTGGCTCTTTCAGAGTTTCCCTAGCGCATAGACTAGCACCTGTAGCCTTAACATGACATTTTAAGTCATAGCATGAACGATTAGCACATCCAACACATTCTACCCACCCCTAAACAACAAAAATTATATCATGTAAAGATCTATGGTTACAACCATATATAAAATTAAACTATCCAAGTACTAAGTACATTGTATTGTAAAGTTATAATTATATAATTTACGTAGGAGGTTTTGCATTCAGCGTCCCAACAGTCTGTGGCGTAGTGAGCCATTTCATTATCCATATGTTGTCGAAATCGTAAATATTTAGGATCTATGCCCATTTTTGTTAGATAAAGGCTTATACGTCCAAGAAAATATCCCATACACCGACTGCCAATAACACCCTACGGGATAATTGATGTTATATTATCAACCCTTTTGTTCATATTATTACTTAGTGTTATTATGATTGAAATCCTTTAGTATTGTATATTTCTTATGATACACCTGTACCTCATCCACAGCATTTTTAATGGACATTTTCCTAGTAGGCTTCCCACTAACTTGATGATCTTTGGGGAATAAAGTTACTTCAACATCAGCAACAGAGTCAAATTTGAAATGATCATTGTCATTGGGATGATAAAAGTATTCAATCTCTCCCAAGGTGAATTCTCTACGGGAAAAATTGTCCAATTGTTAAGCTAATATATAGTCATTATTCCAGGGTAATTATCAAATTATAGCATATCATACCTAACTCTTAGAAGACCTGATCGCGGGGATACTTCATTTCGAAAAGCGGAACCAATTTGAGCGGCTGCAAAGGGTAATTTGCCTTGATTATACTCCAGTAAATAGTCAAAATTAACAAACATCCCTTGTGAAGTTTCAGGTCTCAAGTAGCTGTGAAGTAATTTTGTTGCTTAGTAATATAATAATGATTATAATTTGTAGCTTTTAGTGTCAATAAGAGGAATATACGTATCAAATCATTATAGTTATTTTTACCCGCTAACTCCACCACTAGGTCCAATTTCCGTCCGAAACATAAGGTTGAAAGGCATAGGATCGGAAACGTTATTGCCTGTTACTGGAGATTTTACCTCGAATTTTTTTATTTGGTCTCCCAACTCCTGCAGACTTAAACTTTCTACCTACACAATTACGATGGCCAATTAATGAACTTGATTAAACGATTTTACCATTTCTGATAACATATCGAATGAAAATGAAGCTAATCCTTTACTATATACTTGCGTAGAATACCTTGGTGCGCAAGTTGATAATTTCTTGCCTGCTATCGCCTTCTAGATTTTTATCTGCTAGCAGTTTTTCCAAATGAGCTACAACAGAAACATACGTAGTTTTGAATTTTGAATCATTATTACTTTTGAATAGGCAGTAATATCACAATGAATCGCTACCGTCTAATAAGTGGTCTGCCCTAAGACATTCTCCGGTTTTGACATCTTTTACTACGTAGTCTAGAAAACGATCAAGATGGCCGGAAGCTCTGTAATTTTAAAAATGCAATATAACATTTTATGAGATATTATCATCCAAACACAGAATATGAATAATTTAATGTACTTGAAAACTGGTTCTGGCGCCAAACTACTGGATTCGATTTCCAGCATATCTTCTTCCAATACAAAATGCAATCGCCATTCCTGCAATAAATTATTTTTCATAGCACAACCAGTCGGTCCAAAATCATACAAGCCAGCTATGCCACCATATATAGAGAATGAAGGCCGATAGAAAAATCTTTGCTTCAATAATGTCTCTAATTGGCTACGATTGAATTCGTCAGGGGGATTCAAAGCTTTTTCCTAATTGTTGGACAGCAACATTTTCAAATTTGTATCGATATAATATATAATGCCAAAAAATGTCTATTCTATTTATGGAGTATTCTCTTATCATTGGAGTGAGAAAAAGTGCTGATGTGATTGTGATAAATGATGTTCATTTAGCTAACCTTATCTTCCAGTTGTTTTTTACGTCTTTTCAATTCAGCAACAGCTCGACTAATGTCCGCTTTGGGTGCTTGACTTTCCTTTAGTTCCCTTACTCTATCACCCTAATATTAAACGAAGAATAAAATCAATTTATCATTGCATTGCTCAATGTGTAATAACCATGGCTACTGGCTAAGATTGCAGTAATGTAAGATAGCAATGGTATATATATAATCCGAAAAATGAAGAAATTTTCGATCACTGTCTATTACAACTACAACACGTATGATATTCCATCTGTACTATAATGTAATATTACTGCAATTATAATAATTTAACGCGAAAATATGTGATACATGGTTAATTAAAGCACGCATGCTGCTACTTTAAAAACATTATTACCACATGAAGTTTTTAACGGAGATGTTTGCATCGTATCTCGTCGTCACTCTGGTGTATCTACTGTACTAATTGCCGACCAACTGAAGTCCAAATACGTGTAGATAGGCTACTCTTTAATAAATTGATAATAACGAGTTATGCAAAATATGATATGTCCTGTATTCTAGTGACGGAATATCTTTAAGTAGTACTAATGAATTAATTCAACTATGAATCGACATACGTCATTGCACATTAAATACTTTCATTCAATCGTTTGCATGCTAAGATTATAACTGTAACACATTAATTTAGTGTATTAATGATAGACTGAATTTTCTGTTCTATTTCATATCGCTAAAAGATTACAGTGACTGTCTGTTCAGGTTATATGAGGTATGCGGAATCTGCGAATATGGTATCCATGGATTGTAATCATACTCGAGTAAATGACAGTTTGTTACTGGTATGGCTATGAGCAATCACATCATGACCAATGAATTAGTGTTAGCACAGTAGCCAAGAATCAACAATACCTTGCTTCAGGTTTACGAATACTGTACTGCTATCGTAACGCAACACATTTAATTGATTTCAACTCATTTCATTCAATGGAAACAAACCTGTTCTTTGACAAGCAAGCGTAGAGGCGCAAGTTGCTGCTCTATTTCAATCTCGCTAGCCATAGTGTGCAATTGAGACGATTTGAAGAAATTGAACGCGCAGGAAATTACGGATAAACGAACGAGCCAACTATCTCGATGTATCAATGAGTTAGAATAATCACGATCTCGTTGTTGAGACGAATTAGGGAGCCAACAATCTCGATAGATCGATGCGCTATAACAACGATTATGTTGTTGAGACAGGTAGACCAGCCAAGACTGAGATTGATAGTGGCGAATAGTATTGATAGCACGAGGCAAGGTGTTATTCTTAGCTGAGATGGAGAGAAATTTGGCTAGCGACAGCATAAGAAGAGCAGGGCAGATTCCTGTTGTGAGGCACTGCTAGGTGCTGTAACTACGCAATAACGGATATTGCTGATGAAAAAGAGACGAATGCAATTGACTGTGCAGCCGATGCTCTCACTACAGTACGGCAAGGTTAGACATTTTTTAGTTGCGGCATGTCGTACAGTACAGTACGGTACTGTATGTGCAGAAAGTATTGTACACTGTACACTGTAAAGTACAGTGTACAGTATCATAGTACAATACTGCACACTGTAATCTACAGTGTATAGTACTGTACTTTGAACAGACCTCGGCAGAGACTCCTCAACCAACCAACTTGCACAAAATTCATCAACTAGCCGTATCCAACCCCCGTCCCATATCTTAGATAAGTAAAACATGTAACTAGTACAGTACATACTGTGATTACAACAGAATGCAATTGACTGTGTACTGTGCAGCCGATCCTCTCACTACAGTACGGCACGGTTTAGACCTGACCACGGTTAGACATTTTTTAGTTGCGGCATGTCGTACAGTACAGTACCGTTTCGTTCAGAAAGTATCATGATATAATACTGTACGCTGTACACTACAGTACAGTACAGTGTACAGTACTATACTTTAAACAGACCTCGGCAGAGACTCATCAACCAACCAATTTGCACAAAATTCATCTACTACCCATATCCAACTCCCGTCCCGTATCTTAGATACGTACAACATGTAACTACTACTGTGATTGCAACAGAATACAATTGACTGTGCAGCCGATCCTCTCACTACAGTACAGTACAGTATCATAATACTGTACTGTACACTAGTGTACAGTGTACAGTGTACAGTACTATACAGTACTTTGAACATTCATCAACTACCCATATCCAACTCCAGTCCCGTATCTTAGATACGTAAAACATGTAACTTGTACTGAGCTTGGTAAATATTCTTCAATTCACTTTACGTCACTTTACTTCACGTCACGCCTTGATCAGTAGTTCACTGTAGTTGATACTTGATAGTACTGTACAGTCACAGTGTACAGTATAACTTGATACTAACTCTTACACGTTAGTCAAATCCTGTAAAGTATTTCTAACATTCCATTTAGCATATATGTTGCAAAATGAGCTGGGGTCAAATCAGTAAAATGCTCTTCAGGGTTGTAACAAACACTGCTTACGACTACTGGAAAAAGCCCTGACATCCTGCACAGTACATACAACGCTTCTATGATTCTATTTGATCTGCAATGTCTAGTGCATCTTATAAAATGACCAGGTGTAAAATCAGTCAAATACTCTTACGCTCACACCAGTTGCGACCAGGTGTTTGGAACACTGGTTAAACAGCTCCAGAAAAAAGTCCTCGTCTCCTCCTAGTAGTGCTGTTGAATAACCGTCCATTGTACAATGTACAGTACAATAGTCTCATACTGTACACCGTAGGGGTAAATACTGTAGAAGCACTCAGGTCAAATCATGGATGTCAAGTCCAGCCGAGCTCTACTAGATTCGATTCGATTCAAGACTCAAGCCTCATTAGTACTGTACTATACTGTACAGTACAGTACAGTAAGTTACACTGAGCTTTCTTCCACTTGATCGGCGTTAGTACTATACGGTAACTACAGCTGCTTTCCAATTGATCGCCATTAGTACAACTTCCACTTGAGCTTTTTCCACTTTGATCGGCATTAGTTTCCAGAGTCAAAACGCAAATCGCAGACATGGTTCTTGCAGCATTGATTGATGTAGCTCTTATTTTGCTTAGAATATTGTTGAGTATTGTCATATCAATACTCAGATGCTTTATTCCTGCTCCTAAAAAAGATGTTAAAGGCAAAATTTTCTTAATTACCGGCGGAGCCAGTGGCTTGGGCAGATTAATGGCTACAAAATTTGCTGCTTTAGGAGGAATTATTGTCATTTGGGACATCAATGAACAGGGTAATAAATCGATACAGTCGGAAATTCGAGCTGCTGGTGGGACTGCATACACCTATATAGTTGATATTTGCAACAAAGATAAAATTTACGAAGCGGCCGACTTGGTTAGAAAGGACGTGGGAGATGTGGACTTTTTAATCAATAATGCTGGTATCGTTAGCGGTAAAAAATTATTAGACTGCAGTGACAACATGATATTAAAAACCATGCAGATAAACAGTATTGCGCATTTTTGGGTAAGTAGAATGGATAGCTATTCGAACGAAATTAATTAACCAATACTCTCTTAAAATAATTGCTGTTCATGTAGACAGTCACGTATACGGTATACCTACTTACCTACTGCACTCCCATGTTCTACAGTACTTTATAATGCTCTGGTGCTCATCTACGCTAGTGCTGAAATAATTGTGAATTCGCTTTCTGCCCACCATTCAATAACCTCAGATTAGAATAATTATAAGTATCAGCGATCGAGCAGTTTCCATAGATAATCGTAACATCAGTAGATGCTTCATTACAGCACGATTATGGAGTTGTTATTTCTGTAATAACGTATTTTAGGCTAGGATAGAAACAACAATTTGCAAAGTACACTGTCGTTAGTAGATGGCAACTCTATATTGTACAAGAAGTGACGATAAACTACGTCACTTAGAAGGGTAATTTTAAATGCTAGCTTAGACAGTTAATTAGTAACTTCCCGTGTTTCAAGCGGATACAAGTACTGGTAGAATACGTATACTGCTATACTAGCAGAATATAACTGCAGAACAGTAATTTAACAATATCCGTTTTTTCGTTGGCAATGGATTTATGAAATTACGGCCATAGTTTGTGGTGTTGTCCTAAATTAAGCATGATAATTCTTAAAATTGTTAACTGTACTCTGGATTTATTAATTTAATTACAGACTACAAGGGCTTTTCTACCAAAAATGATGGAGAAGGATGAAGGTCATATTGTTACAATTGCATCAACAGCAGGATTCTTTGGAGTTAATCGATTGATCGACTACTGTACGTCTAAGTTTGCCGCGGTAGGTTTTGATGAATCTTTGCGTGATGAGCTAAGAATTGCACGGTCCAAAGTAAATACAACGGTTATTTGCCCAACTTACATCTCTACCGGAATGTTTGAAGGCTCTAAGTTTAGGTCAGTGTGCGTTTCAATTCTGGTAATGCTTAAACCATCTTTTGATAAAGATGCAACTATTTGCTGTAACAGTACCCATTCTGAAACACTATACTGTACAGTAGTTAAATAAATAATTGCAGTCAAGACCATCTCAGTTCGATTTTTTAAAGTAATTCTTTAACAGACTGTAATATTTTAAATTAAAACATTTTTATAACTAAATTACGCGTGGGATAAGTTGTCACAAAGTGATACATATTATCCAATAGATCACCTCTCATGTACAGACAGTATCATAATTAGGATCGTAGACATTAGAGAAAACTCTAACTATGCTATTATTATGATACTAAAAGTTATAAATTAGTGGTATACCGTACGTATCACTGTATCTTGTTTAGCATCATCTATCGGATTGCTAGTAAAGTAAGTAGCTTGTATAGCTAAATATTTTGTAACGTTAATTTGATATGTTAATACCTAAGGAATACAGCTGTTATTATTGATAACTGTATGTAATTTACGTAAATTATAAGCTACAATAGCTATCTGAGAAGTCGTTAATTCTTGTCGCGCTGCTACCGGAAATAGTACAACACTTATACATTATTTATGCATATAACTATACTCTACTGTATTATTAAGTTCTGTACCTTGTCCAGTACTAAACTCAATGCATCAATCATTTTAAAGTACGAACCTATCAACAATTGTATCAACATAACATAACTCTTTTATATACTGTAGATTTCAGTCGTTAATGCCTGTATTGACACCAGAATGGGTTACCGACCAAATTGTTGATGCAGTTTTAAGGAATCAGAAAATGTTATGTTTACCGAGAACGATACCTATTATGATATTTCTAAAAGGGTAAGTCTGTATGTACTTTGATCTAGATTTCGATTTAGAATCAATCCATGGAGATAATTTATGAGTAGCAATTGGAGCTTAAATGATTTTGCATTGTAACATCATCAATTATTTTACTTTATAATACATGGTTCGGTATTAAATTAATTATAATTAGTTATTTTATACTGTAATTGGGATCTGCATAGTATACAGTATAGTAAAAGTTTAGCAGCGTTAATTTTGTGTACTACATTCATCACTCACTGTACAACTTTTTTATATGACCTTTTTATGACGTTAATCTTAGGCTTTTACCAATTGAAGCAACAGAAGCATTTTCTGACTTAGTTGGAGGTTCCCAATCTATGGAAGACTTCGTCGGCCACACTTCAGCTACTAAAAAGTCCTCTTAATCTAGTTTTAATCACGTTCTTGTATCTTATATACTGTAGATGCAAGAAAAGTTTTAAAACAAAGAGACCGAATTGTCATGAACAATTTATCAAATTTTCAGTCAATATAAGAATGCGCGTGTTTAAACAAACTTTTCTTATTCTCTCTGTTGCATGTACGATAGTGCAATCCACCAAGTAAATGCATAGCAATACGCGTAGGATTATTTGTTTAAGTTAACAGAAATAGTTCAAAACAACTTAAACTATCAGTAGGAAGTGCGTCATCGTATATAAAGTTATTATTATTATAAATCTATATTTCCTATTCAGGGATTAGCGTAGCGGCCTGTATGGCAGATTTTATTGTTATTAACATTATCGTAATATTATCAACTTTGTTGTATGAAGATATTTAAATCGCATAAAGCACGAGTAGTCATTTCAGTAGACTTCCATTAGACATGCTCCTGCCTTTACATATTCTTGCATTGCTTGTTTGAAATGCAAGTTTTTGCTTCATCAAAAAACTTGACAACTTATATACGGTGATAATACGTGGATGCAGATCCGACCAGGTCGGACTTCGCATTTACTTATTCACTAAGTTAAATGAATTACCGTCTTTGTATTTCTGATGAAAGTAATGTAATGATCAATTTATGATATTTACACGTAAATATACCTAATCAAATTAAAGGCAATAAGTTGTTCGTTCGAAATTTCTGTGTAGAGGTGAATTGATACACTGCACGCGAATGGTTCGTCCGTAGCTTAAGGACGTTACAGCTTCGTCGAGAGCCCTAGCTTGCTTGCTACAAGCAAGGCTAATGTACATAGTACAGTACTGTATAAAATTGTAAAGCAGAGGATGGTCGGTTATTCGACAGGCATTGGACGTAGTCTTATATGCGAACAATTGTCAAATCGATTAGCTAACGTACTTTACGATATTGTAACACATATACTGTACGTGAACAATTACCAAATTGACTGATTTTATTCCTAGAATCATGTAAGTAAACAGACCAAAGATTTACTTTAAATCATTATACAGTACAGTATTTGGTCAGCTTTACAAATTCAGTTTGCTATTCGAGCCTTTCGCCACTCCTTTTTTAAAAGTCCAACAGATTCAACTGCTGTACCGTATACTGTACAACTGTACAGTACAGTGTACAGTACTAATGAGTATAGTACTGTACGTTACAGTACATTGTACAGTAGATGTGCAGTGCGGTACCGTCATACTGTACTGTACACTGTACACTGTATAGTACAGTACAGTACTGTACTGTACTGTATAGGCAAAGAAAAAAACTGTCTGTACTGTACCGTACTGTTCCTTTATTGGTACCATACAGAGTACTGTACTGCACCGTACAATACCAAGTCGTGAGTACAGTACAGTACTGTACTGTACATCGTACAGTGTGTACCGTACTGTACGGCCATTGAAATATGCGCATGGGTAAATACGATTATTCACGTGCAAATCGTTCTTTTCAACCAACAGCAATCGAAATGGCGACACGGTAAGTCGATAACTGTAAAGGATCTCTTGTCATCCATGTCTTTTACTGCATCATTTTGAGAAATTTTTACCCACAAATGTACTTTTACATCTTTCTATCGCCTTTATTCATGTTATTTTGTCAATCTTATTCTAAATGATCATAAAATTGAGGTTCACTCTTCATTTTTGATTAAAATAGTACCGCGCATTAATCGCCATGACATACTAAGAACTTACATTAGCTTCTTTACAACATTTCCTATCACTGCCAATGTAGAGCATTGCAATAAATCGACAAGCGAAATGATACACCTGAAAGTATAAGATGTTACATTCTAATTTGTCGTTAACTAAGATTAGAATCAATCTACCATGTCATACGTAACGTAATCGGTAATTTCGCCTATATATGGTGTGCCTACGTTTAGTGTAATAATTATATTTGCCGCACTTCTGTTTCTTAACTTTATTCGTATTCAGTACTTTGCCTTGCACACCATTTTTCGCTCTATTATACCAAGACTGTATGAATTTTTAAACTTACATTTACTTCTAAGGAGCTGTAGTATTCACGTATACCGATTTATTATTGTTAAGTAGGTCAGCAGCAATAGGTAACGTACTGTAAATTGACTTACTACTGTAAGGCGTTTGTAGTGGTTGACCATGCGAAATAGACGTTTTTTGATAGACGTTATTTGGATACATGGTAGACTTTCAATATTTCGTAAGGTTTAACCTAATTGTTTTGCCAATGATTTCGTTAATATTGTGCATCTATTAGGAATGAAAAATTGCCCACCCTCCCGGAGAGCGTCCTAAAGAAACGTAAGGCTCTAGAAAAGTTACGAGCTGAAAAGGAAAAACTGAAAATTGATACCCGAAAGGTTAGTTTGTAGAGAGGCGACTAAAATCTGACTTTAAAGTAAATTGTAGCATGAAACTGCTAACTGTATTGCACGAAAATTCAAGATTACGTATGATATATTCGAAATTTTCCTGCCTTATTTTCATTTGAGGAGAAATAATGGCTAAAAATTTGAAAGTAATTGGTATGATATTTTTAAATGATAGGCCAATAAAAACAAGAGAAGGGTAATTTTTAAAAGAGCTGAACAGTATGTAAAAGAATATCGTCTAAAAGAACGCGATGAAATTCGTCTGAAGCGAGAAGCAAGGAAAGAAAACAACTATTACCTGCCTGCTGAAGCCAAGCTAGCTTTCGTCGTTAGAATTCGAGGGTACACACTATAGCCGATATTCAGATCATATCTAACAGTAAAATTCTATTGGGATGATTGTTATATCCCATCTAATCTTTACCTTTGTACTAAAATCGATTAATCTAGTATCAACGGCGTAAGCCCGAAGGTTCGCAAAATTCTTCGCTTGCTCCGATTACGTCAAATCCATAACGGTGTTTTCGTAAAACTGAACAAGGCTACTATCAATATGTTGAAACTTGTCGACCCATATATTGCATGGGGGTAAGACTAGAAGTTATTAATTAATACGGCTCAATGATGCTGATTCTCTGAATCAGTAACTAATGATTACCATCTCTTGTAACCCGTCACTGTAGTACATTTGTATAATTGATGAATGTAGATTGTACCGTGATAACGTGTTATTAAACTAATTGAATATGCTCAAATCTTTCTACAGTTACCCAAATTTGAAGAGCGTTCGAGAATTGATTTATAAGCGTGGCTTTGGAAAAGTTGATAAGAAAAGAATAGCTTTATCAGATAATGCAATCATTGAAAATAGCCTTGGAAAATCTGGAATTATCTGTATGGAAGACCTTATACATGAGATCTTTACTGTTGGTCCCAATTTTAAACAAGCAAATAACTTTTTATGGCCCTTCAAGTTGTCGTCTCCACATGGTGGTATGCAGAAGAAAGGTAATCACTTCATTGAAGGAGGTGATTATGGAAATCGGGAAGAATATATCAATCAGCTGATAAGAAAAATGAATTAGATTTCTTGTATGTTATATCTGTTAATTGTTTTCGTAAAGCTATCCGAAATAAAACGCCTAAAGTTTGACATCGTCTGTGATGCAATATGCATATATGAGTAGTATAGTGCAATAGAGCACTGTTTACAAGTGCTGATGATAATTTTAATCGACCTAGTTCACCTCTAGCATCAGGGATGGTGCGATACGGGACGCGCTTTATTTTATTGACAGTTTGTATAGAAGCTCTATCGAAAACTTTGTTTTCTATTTATGATTAAACAGTACGAAATTCATCAATCGAGCTACTGTAAGTCTCTGCCTACAATTGCGTCGAATGCGTAAGTGCTAGCTTGTTGAATCTGAACCGGATATTTCACGCCGATACTGTACGTTCTGCTATGTTCTCTTAATCAGTTCAAGTAACGTTAATTCGACCGTAGGGGTTGGAATATAAGAATCATTAATCCGTAAAGTCACTTTGGCAAATTCGTTAATGGAATTTCAATATGTAAACGGTAAATCTAATAATCATAAGCTTACAAATAACGTACAGTATTCTACAGAAATCCTCTCTGGTTTGAGATAAGCGAAGGTAAAAAGCACCCCAGTAGTACTGACCTAGGACATTTTAGTGCAGTGAGACGAGCGCTTCGTACCTCTCTTCTTTTAGTAGACCCTGAATGTCTGTATGCTATTAAATTATTTCAATTATAATTATAAACTTGAGAGATGTGGGTTTTTTCCTACAGGAAATCTTCATGGCGGATCAGGACATACAAATAGTAGCCTATAAAAATCACTACTAAATGTGTTTGAATTTTTCGAAATGTATATGTTACGTATATACGAGTTGTTTAATATATATATTGCAGAACCGGAGTTCTACTGATCTATACCTTGCAGATCTAGTCTCTTCTTTCAACGAATTTATGCAGTACTTATGTGCTAACAAAAAGCATTTCATGGATGATGTACGCTCGATAGAGTCTGTAAAATAAAGCAAAAGTCTATCTATGATAGTGATGAAATTATTTTGATTTTTTGGATCAATTTTTGACAGTACATACGCATATTCTTAAGGCTAAGTGCACTATAGACACATATTTAAGAAAAAAAATATTCAAACTTTGGTATAAGAAACAGGTCAACTTTACTGTACGGCTGAGATTCGAATACGCATATCTGAAAGCTTCAAGCAGATATTTTATTTGCAGTTAAAATCCTTATTACAGTAACTTGTCATATATCATATATGCATATGTACACTAACTCATACCAAGGACTACTGCTCGTACACATTGAATATTAACGTTTAAAATTCGTGCACTTGCTCACGGTCTCATCTTATTTCTAGATCGAATTGACCGCCAACTGATTAACAAACTTTATATATAACCAGAAATGATTTTACTTTACAGTACTCCACAAAGCAGCAACTTGTTCACATACACATTATGGTATACGTAAGTACGGGCCAGTACTATCAGTTGGCGAAATCGAAGCAGTGCTCCGTTGCTAGGGTTCCGGCCATGCGCACATACTGTATAGTACAGTACTATACGGTAGGCTGCTGACATACTGTAGGTATGGAAACTACAGTACAGTACTGTACAGTACAGAACAGTACAGTACAAGTACTGTAAACTTGCCTAACTACTGTAGCTTAAAGTACTGTACTGTACTGTACTGTACTGCACTGTACTGTACCGTGCTGACACTTTACTAACAGATTTACAGTCCATATGATTGGTAGTGACTTGCTAGTGAGCCAAGGAGCAAACAATTTTTAGCGTTAAGTAAACTAGCTCGTTTTATCAAATCTAGCCTGCTATTAAATGTAGTTTCTACTGTATCTTGAAGAAATCGTAATAGTACATATCGAACATATTAAAGAGTTCAATCATCTTTCCTGTTATGTGCAAATAGATACAGTAGAAGGCGTTAGAAATTGTCTCGATAACTATGTTGTTCGTGATTGCCGTCGAATTCTTCTTGACATGCATTCGGTTTGCTTATCATATTGTTATTGCAATCATTTATTCTATACTGCCACGAAAAGCTAAAAATGTAGAAGGTGATATCGTTTTAATTACTGGTGCGGCCAATGGAATTGGAAAGATCGTGGCCAAAAAATTTGCTGACCTAAATGCGACTCTCGTGTTATGGGATATTGACAAAAAGGCCAACGAAAACGTTGCGCGAGAAATCGAGGTCATGGGCAAGCGGGCCTATGCCTATACTGTCGATGTTACTCAAAAAGAATCCGTTTATAAGGTTGCCAACCGCGTCAAAATGGAGGTTGGTGACGTTAACATTCTCATTAACAACGCTGGTATTGTCAGCGGCAAGAAACTGCTAGACTGCGACGACGATATGATAATAAGAACAATGGAAGTGAACATGATCTCACACTTTTGGGTAGCGATATTAACTTTCCTCTCGTATCTAGCATTTGATTATACGTATCTGCTACTATACATGTATATATATAAGCGTATATACGAATAGAAAGTTACAGATTACTAGATGTATCTGTTAATAATCTCTGATACTGTACAATTCTATTTTTCCAGTTTCGTTATTTAGCTAGTTTCATAAATTGTTAATTTAACGTTCCTGCTACATCCCTCGATAATACGTTATTTCCTTATATCTGTAGACTGTGAAAGCTTTCCTACCCGCTATGCTCGAAAATAACGAAGGTCACATTGTTACTATTGCTTCCGCTGCTGGTTTATTAGGTGTAAGCCAGTTAGTTGATTACTCTGCCTCCAAACATGGTGCAATTGGATTTGATGAATCTTTACGCCACGAATTAACCGACATGCATAGTGGCATAAATACGACAGTTGTGTGTCCGTACTATACAGATACTGGATTGTTCTACGGATGCAAATCAAGGTGCCAAATTGCACTTGCTTGCAATACGTTTAAGAATTTTTCAATAATACAGTATTCAAAACATTCAAAAATATGTATTATATACTCAACACAATTTAATGACCTCAATTATTTAAGTCATCTTGTACCTATACCTATACATGTAGATTTCCCAAGATTTTACCGATACTGGAGCCGGAGTACGTTGCTTCCTGCATTGTTGATGCAATTTTACAAAATCAGCACATCCTTTTTGTTCCAAAGATTCTCTCTATCTTCATTTTTCTGAAAACGTAAGTTGGCAGTTAATTAAATTATACAATACTTGGTAACTTCTTCAAAATATGACCTATATCGGTATACATAATTGCCGGCCTAGAAGTAATTTAAATATTTAAAGTTCTTTCTCTTGATTTTATCTATCTGCCATAACTTTCTATTTACTAATATTATTGTTAATTCAGAATTTTACCAACAAGTGCATTTATAGTCCTTGGTAAATTTTTTGGAGGGTTTACGTTTATGGATAATTTCCAAGGTCGTGCAAAGAAAAACTTCAATAGAAAGTTCTGAAACATTCTCATATTAAGGTTGTCATATTTGTCAGCGTATGCTGCACATTTTATCTTTCGTGACGGAAACAAAATTTCTAATACCTGTTCCATGGCTAAACTGTACCTATCGTAGCTGGTAGAATACATTTAGCTGTGTTGACCAATCAGCTATATTGTATGGTTCAATGCTAAATGCATATACGAATAGATGCTGTTGTATGTACTTCTGGCAGCCAGAATATCCTGCGTAAATTTCAATTATTTGTACTAATTTATTCGCTGATAGTAGTGATTAATAAATTGTGATAATACATATAATGCAAATTCTTGTATTATCCTTTACCAGTGAGATGTAGGTAATACAGTATATATGTTATTGTCTGTATTGTATATACACAGGCTCCCACTATTCAGGAGATCACCCCAAATGTAAACATTGATTGCTAATTACTGAAACATCCTGATGTGACTCCGAATGGTACGGTAATTGGCTTCCATTCGAATAACTACGTGCATCTAATATACGTAATGATTCAAGCTTAAATGAAAATATGTAGAATGCACGATAAATTCTTTGGGTTTGAACTCATTCTACTACTGGGTACTAAATTATTTGATATCCAACAAGATGCGTTATGCTTTAAGAAATTAATCTTCCATTGATTAAGGACTATTTGATATATCTGACCTCGAAAGCTGTAGGTCTTTTAACTTCTGATATATGTAAGTTGATCATATATGCCTCTAATTATCTACCTGCTTACGCTTAAATTTAATTCGAATGGTATTTTATTGACTTCATACAGAACATTATGGTACAACAATAGCACATATGTATTTTTGTTTCCTATTTATTGCAATATTAATAAATCTAACAATTGAAATGTGTTAACAAGAGATGTGTAATATTTATAAGTCGAATATATATTATTGTTATACAATTTACAGTATATCCAATAGTTCTTTTCTAATGTATAACATTTGCATGATAATTGTAACCGACTTTTAGAAGTCGGCGGCTTCTGCAATATTTTCACTTTAGCATATCAATTTCAATCTTACTGATTAATCTGGTAATATTGGTTACTAATTAAGCTACAGAACATAATTTATCCTGCTGCTAGATCCAGCAGTAATAATAGGTCCTTGATCATAACTTTAGACTTGGCATTATGCTACAACACAGTATAGCTGGAATCGCTAAAATAAAACAGATAAATGTATTATAACAACAGTATACACTATATTTATAATATTATGTTTCCGTGTTATTTTCAATTTGCGGTATCAATCGCTTTCGGGCACCCAACTGACAAGTCTAGCTATCGAGCTCAAGTAGGTGTAAATTAATTAGTTAGTTTATGTTATGTATCTACAGACAAAGGAACATTGGGCTGAACAGCTATAATGCTTGACGCAACTGAACTAACACTGAAGTTTCTTTCACTAAGACCGGTAGCACTATCAACTCGAGGCAACTCCGGCAAAGCTGGAGACAAGGTGACCTCACGCTGTTCTGCCTTGATTGAATCTCTACCGGAGCAACTCTTACTTCTCTTATTAGGGGAGGGTTGAGGCGATATACTACGCTGAGTGTTCACCTGGTACGTTTTATTATCTCCTGAAGGCAACGCTCTTGAATCACTAGCGCTGCGTTGAATATAAAATTCATCTTTTTCAAGATAAGGATAGTTACTAGCTTTTTCGTGGACGTGGGCAGATGTCGATGATCTAGGTTGGGTAGTATCCATCATTGCAATAATATTGCTAGTACTGGCTGTATCTGCAGTTGCAACGTGTCCACGGAAGGGCTTTTGTACTTGTAATGTTGCAGCTTCCGCAATAGTTTTAGAGCGGCAATTTTCTTGCTTAGAATGATCAATGGTTTTCGAAAATAGTGACTCGACGGCGAGCCTTGTGTCTCTCTCATACGTTTCACCTACCATAGAAGCGTCCGTGCAGCTACCGCTACGACAAAGGGACACCGGTACAACACCATACACATAAGCAAGTAGTATAGGTACACCAATACCAACCGCAACTGCTGCCAGAATGGGTGATACCATAACAGATGCGGAAACTCCAGCAGTTATGGCTATATTCCTTTTATGACGCTGATTACGCTCCTGAAATCTCTCATACACCTACAAGTTCGGATGACAAAAGATAACTGTCTTAATAACGATAGAATATTATTTCTAAATATTTTAGAATAAAATAAAATTTTATCGAATACTTTATACGAGTCTAAAAAATGTATGCCGAGCATTTATATCGGTTTATTATAAACAGTTCTACTCGTATGATGGTACCTTCCGACCAGCATAGATTGGAACTCCTATTATTATAGCGGGCACGCTAATTGTAGCAATCAAACCGATGCCTACAGGAGCACCAATGATGGTTCCTAGCTGCCATAGTATTTTCTTTTTCCTACTCCATGGCTTCTTGCCCCAAAATGTACATCCAGAAGGGCTAGATAAACGATACAAACAATAAGGATCTTATAATAATGTCTTGAAAGGACAGTAACAGAGTACAGTATACAGTGCTAAATTAATTATAATTACTAAAGATAAGTATAAGCATTTACCTTAAGTAATGTAAGTCGGTAATCTCTCGCATGCACAACCAGCAAAATTCGGTAGAACAAACTGAACAGACCATATGGTTACAAGAACCATCATCTACTTTGATAATAAGTGCCGAGCAACGAGGGCACATTTTGATTTGTTCGCTCCCAAGATCTTGAAGTAACTGCCCTGCTTGTGACGTTGACGATTCATTCGTTGCCGAGTTGTTGATTGCGGCGACCGAACGGCTGAGACGAGCAGCATCACAAGTTTGATTGGGATGCCACATCTGCTTACAGTGATAACAGAAATCAGTATTGCATCCGGGTCGTTCACACTGTATCTTAGGGCAACTGGCACAACCAGCAGCTATAACTGCATAACCACAATCAGGTGCCGGGCACCATCGACAGTCCGGATCAGAAACGAGAATTCTTCGAAGAGAAAATTCTTCATATTTTGACCATATATCATTATCATCTAGAATGGACTTAATTTCATTGGGATAGAAATATTCTGAGCATTCAGGGCAAGTAATGTTTGTTCTAGATTCTGAGATTTGCAAGCTGACATATCTTTTCAAACAAGCTGCACATGTTCTATGTTCACAACAAGATAGAATTGGAAACTCGCTTGGGCTTTTAGGAGTGTAACAGATAGGACACGTTAGCATCGATTCATGATTATCTTGAGAAGATTCGTTGGAACAAGAACTAAGGTTATCAGAGTTGCAATTGTTGTTGTTATTATTGCTATTCCTATCATTATAATTATTTTTGTCCTCATCAGCACAGGATGACTGAGAAGTTTTCTTTTTCTTCCATAGATTACGCCAACTGCGTCGTTCTTGTTTATTAGTCATAATTTTGTTTTAACTTATAAACTATATAAAATTGATCAATATTGTACAGTACTATGTCACCAGTTAGACAAATTAAGTTGGTTGAAGTAAAAGTTTTCCGGCTAATGACGGCCCGATGTTGCTATACAAAGCAAGAAAGGAAAAAATAACAATAATGTTCGTTAATGCTCATCCATCAAAGTATATCTACAGTGCTAGAGTACTCAATTTATGCAACAGAAATAATTAATCGTCCAATTTTATACGTGATGCAATACAGTCCATTGGGGCCAACAGCGTAAAGAAAATCTTACCGTTTGGTGATTAAGGAAGCAAAAAAAATCTCTATGTTACAGAACAATGGGCAAAATTATCGGATGAAGTTATTCACTTGGAACGAACAGAAGTCGATTTGGCTATTGTACCGTCTGCTATATAACTTCTAGTATTATATCGCCGGATATTTTTGTTTTCTTATAAGTTATCGATCTACTGTTACTATATTACTTACAACAGATAGAGGCAGTAAGATACAATGAAACTCGTCTTACTAATCGAATCTTTTATCGGCAAGTTAAAAAAAATGGTAACATATATATATATTTGTTATGCCATATAATTCACAGTAATCTATACTCTACTAAAGTAGCAATCGACGATTCCACTGAACTGAAGATAAAAAATTGTTTGTAATTCTCTTTCAACTAGCAGATCGTCGAAAAAGTTTTACTGTTGTAATATTGTAAGGTTTGGTCCTTAATATACAGTATCCTATTGTAGCTCTTTCTATCCTACCTATAGTACTGGAATCTTTAGAATAGACAATAAGTAGTCCAACGTCTCTATCTTCTATTACATGCACAGCATAAGCAGTAACAATATTGATCAGTAAACTGACTATTTCCAAGGCTACCTGAAACACAAGTTAACACTCCAAAATAATGTATTTTCCAGAATTGTCTCCAACGGGGGCGATTCAATTACAACATAGCAAACTCAGCAGCAATCATACGCGTATATAGAATACTTGACGATAAGTTTATGCTGTTGTTCTTTCCATCACCATAACAAAACATTAAAGATTTCTGTCAAATTAGATGAATTCATTTACCCAAATATACAGTTGATTGAACTACAGAAATTGACGACAGAAAGTCTAATAAAGAAATGAAATGTATGGAATGACGTGCAATTTTCTATTCTTTGAGGATATTTTTAGCTTACTCTACTTTTGTTTGTTGAACACATAGATTGTATGGGTACAGACGTACAGTACAGTATGTAACGTCTTGGAATACGTAATCAAGTTACTTATAGTACCGACTTACAGTAAGTCTGTGAAATGAAAGTTATTGTACTGTACAGTACAGTAGAGTGTACTGTAGAGTGATATTAGCTTAACTTTCCGTCCAAAGCACTGTACTGAATACGGTAAAGAAAAGTAAATAAATAAATAATAAAAATAAAATTACAACCATTACTGCATACTGTAAAGCGAAGACAAGATTGCTGCAAGGACTTTTAAAAAATAACGACAGAAAGACCCTTTTAGAAATCCCAGATTGCTTTGATCAGTTTCAACGATACGTTCTCATGCCTGCTAGTCTATATCGATCGATATGTCCTCGACAAATACAGAACCACATATGAGTGTGCAGTAAATTATATGTTTTATACTACTAAATGCAGTCAACTACAGTGCTGTTTAGGGTATTACTTAATGATTTAGCTTAATATAGTATTTCATAATATAATAATCCACTTAGCGGGGAATCCATTTTTTTTTCTAGCAGTTCCAGCTATGTACAGTAATAACTGTATTCTCAACTTATCGTCATTAAAGGAAAATTTCACTACTGTGCAATATATTGTTGGTCTGAAAATTTCATTTATCAACACAGCATTGAAAAGCATATTATAATCATAGCAAATTGTTCGTGTATAATACAATACTGCACAATAAATCATCCTATGGCAGTTGTATGGTATTCTGACAGCATTCTTCTCTTTGCTTTATTTTGTCATGTATAATTACTGCCAATTTTTTAGTTTGTAATAACGGTAATAACTAATCAATTAATTATTACTGTAGTATGTACAGTATACGTGTACTAGTGTACTGTCGAAATTATTAATCGCAATTGCAATTTATCAGCTCAAGCGTAGAAATATGGTATACAGTATACAGTATACTGTACACTGTACGGTATAGTGCTGTATAATAGCAAGCCATGACGCACTCCTAACATAGAAAAAAGATTCACGGTGAAAATTCTAAAGCTGCGCGATCCGATAGTGCTATTACTGTAGAAAGCCTTACATAATACTAATCAAAAAATATCTATCGTCATCGGTTAAAAGAAAAAAAATTGAAGGATTCTGTAAAGTTATAAGAGTATTCGGAAAATCGAACGGTATCCAAAGACTACATGTAGATTTTTTCCAACGGTAAAAGTTGATATATCGTTTACATTAGATAAATAAAAAAAATTGAGATCATCGAAGAGTTTGCATGTCCAGGAATTATACTGCCGTAGTCATACTTATAGTTAGAAATATTCAATTGAGGATCCCACAAAAATTGGGCACTTGAGACTTAATAACTAAAACAGCACCATAACATTTTTGTTTACCATACCGTAGATGTTATCGAAAGCTAATACACAAGCAACTTTGTAAGCGCGAGCATACTAAATTACTGTGATAGTATAATTATGCAACAAATACAACTAAAATAAAATAAAATTTTAGTTTCGTTAACAATTAAATGTAAATTGGACAATCCGCTTTCCCCTCATCGTACAGAATTGTAATACTAGATTTGATCGAGAAAACAATTAATGCTTAACGTCCTGCAATTGCGTTTATCGATAAAATATGCTGGTCCATCGGTGAAATCTAAGGCAAAGTTATTATTTCAAAAGTATACAGTATCAGTATTGTACTTGAAACAGATCACCGGATCATGACAGTTATTAGCATTCATTACCGCTTCACTGCAGCTGCCCACCGTAATACATTGTTGTAATTCTCAGACTCGGAGACGAAGTGGCGAACAGAAAACGAAAGTGTCTGACGGCAATGGATCCAAAACTGATCATTTAAGGAGCAATAATTGTAACTTGCGAACATACAGTACAGTCTCCTGTGTTCTCATATAGTACTGTCTTTACTGTAGTGCAATTCGCTCAACTGTACAGTATATTAGCATATTCGTGTAACTACAGTAAACACAACAACAAAACATAACAGGGACAAATCATGCAATTATCTTCCACTCCTTCAGAGTCTCCAATGTATCACCAAGTCAAAATTGAAATTTTACACAATTGTAGGGAAATCCTTGCTGCTAAACTTTTCATTTCTAGGATATTTACTATACGCTACCAGTATGAACAGTAAATAAATACACGGTGTAAGCTATAAAAATTTTCTTAATAGATCTTTTTATATCTAATTTCGCCCATCCAAATTATTGCAATAATTCAACACGGCAAAGGTATTGTTCGTTTATTTTCTAATATTACTGTACAAATCTTTATCGGACGAAAATATTTAGTCATGTCTTCTTGAATAACTTAAAAGACTATGTGTAAAGGTCTATACAATTTAATAAGCGCAGTCTGTAAATTATCTGATATATACTTGTAATTTCGACTAACAGCACCCCAAACTGGTTGGTCCCAAAGTATTCATCACGTAAGATAAAATAAAGGAACTTCACAAGAATGGAAAAAAATTATATGTGTACTTGAATTCTTTACACGAGACTTTATTGCACATATTGTAATTACTGCAATTGGAAGATGAGGCAAATCGCAAGCATACAGTTCAAATGTAAATACGTTTTTGTAAATGATAGCGTATGTTGTATGCCGAATAATTTGATCACTCCTAACCTACAGTTGGCAACGTTTTCGAGTGGATACAATAAAAGTACTAAATGCCTTATAAAGTAGCATCATAAATCAACTGGAGTAGTACTTCATTATCAATTCATCTCGAGGCGAAGTGCAATTTTTTTGCTATTAAAGGAGTAAAACAAACTCACCTGTCAATCCGAATTTCTAATGGCTTAGCTGAATATACACGTTTTGAGAAAATATTGCCCAAATCAGTCTATTATCCTCCATTTAAGGTCCATTAGCCCAATTAATGATTACACGTTTTTTGGCTTTTCGGGATAAAATTGCTTGAGTAGTATTTGATCACTTTGCTGTCCTGTAAACTGAAACTTCCTCATACAGTACGCCTGCGGTAAGTTTTACTGTCAATGGATGCTAACAGATTTTCACTGTACTGCCATACAGTACATTATACTGTACAGTACAGCGTGGCAGAGGTAGAGTTTCATCAAAGTACAGTATTTTTTAAAGAAAAATATGGCCCGAAAGTGACAAAATGTTATGAAACAGCCTGTACAGTACAGTACAGTACTGTACAGGACTGTACAGTCAATTCATTAATGTTGAGTTTACTGTTCAGTGTTACAATCATTAGCATAAAACATACTGTACAGTACTGTACTATAGAACCATACAGATATTTTTCATGTTGTACTGTACAATGTACTGTACATTGTTACAATCATTAGCATAAAGCATACTATACAGTATAGTAGAATCATACAGATATTTTCGTCGCCTATACAGTACAGTATGGTACTGTAATGTGAGTTTCGTGCAACGTCGGTAAAATGGAGTGAAATGAATAGAAATTTCCGATTTACTGTACTTAGTACTGTAGGTTACAGTATACTGTAGTGTATGTACTGTACTGTACAGTGTACTGTACAGGGTAGGTGGCTACAACTTAGAGAAGTACTGTACTGTATGTCCACAAAAACTAGATGAACATTGAACAGCTCTAGTACTGCACAGTATACAGTAGGCCAAAAAAAAATCGGAACCCGATTTTTCCTACGCAACCATATCAAATCCTTTCTGGACTTTCCATCCTCCTTGTACGTACACTGTACTCAGTGTACTGTTCTATGTGCAGCATAGTACCTTTAAACCTTCTCTATTCTATTTTAGATTTTCAATGGACATTAATTCGTAGCCTTTTTTATTTTTAAGGTTTTACCTGGCTTTGCATACGGTTTTATACTTTACATTTTCAACATGTACTGTACAGTACTTACATTCATTGCAGGAAAAATACGATTGGATATGGGTTTGAATGGCCTCATATACTGTAGCTTAATAACAGTTGACAAAGACAGGAGTGTCGATAATTATTTTGTTACGATAAGGTCAGCATTCGTCGTAGGGATGGATGATTGCGGTCATTCATTCCATCGACATCAATTGCACTTACAGCATTATACATATTGTACGTCTAGGTAATAAAAAAATAATACCTATACAGTATTTAAATACCTCTACAGGCTGAATCAAGAACCAATTGTACTGTACTAGTCCCTTAAATAGAATATAAGCGCAACCCGAACCCGATAAAACCCAATCAAATTGTTGATTTTGTAACTCGAAATGAGTGCAATCGCGATACAAATACTGTATCAGCACAGAAATTGTTAACCCGAACCCCGCCCTCGAGTCGGGTTTCGGGTTGACTTTTATTACGAATCTACCATGAACTTAATATAGAGGTCTTCCTGGTCTGGTCAAGAAGACCTGGACTGAGCAGTGACCACTCTCATGCCGAAAAATGACTTAGTATGAATCTTCCGGGTCTGTTCCCTACATCACTGTTACTAATTTAAATAATATTTACGATCTTATAGAACTGTTTCCAAGCAGAACTTTATAACAGATAATAAGATTCAATGCAATACGAATTACTTAATTTACACTTAGAAAAAATGAATCAATTCCAAAGCCTAGCAAAGCGCTGCACAGAACACTAGTGAACAGCACAGTATTTGACACGAAAAAGCCCGAAAATATCTGTCCGTCCAAGAGCGATGAGTCCAGGTCAACTTCTAGCACTGTAGTCTATAGTGGTTTTTAATAGGTAAGGACATCAATATCGCACGCCTAGGAAAGGTCTTACTGAGTAAAGTGTGCGTAAAGACAAGATTGACTTGATAACGACTGACAGCTCATTTTGCATATGTGGATTATGCGCAAATCAAATATCCAGACCCTTTCCTGATCTACAGTACTCTAGACTGCACAAGTGCACGTCATACAGTGCGTACACGATGCATGCACATCAGCACATGGAGTTTTATCGAAGTTACACTACTGTATACAACAGCAGTTATTACTGTATTGTACAGCGTACACTGTACTGTAGTAAATGCATTACTGCAAGCATGCGAAGGCGATCGTTGATTGATCTCAATTATTACTGTATGTATATTGCGAGGTCATTTAGTACTTGTAATACTGTCCTAGAAATAGAAATAGTAAATAATGCCGAAGTCTAAAAGGAATAAAATTGGTAAGTATGGAGTAAATTGACCTCAACTCTGTACTATAGTCGAATAACGCGAGTTGATAGTGTGACAATGAATGTTGTTCGCGTATACATATTGCAGAATTTTGAATGCAATGCTACTGCAGATCGTGCATGATACTCGTCTTGCAGGCCAATCCTTTCCAATGGAGAGGTGACTGCTTGCAAGTACTGCAAACACTCTTCGATAGGAATTTACCCAAAGTATGACCATTACCAATTGATTTTTACATTCTGATTTATTTTTACAAAATGCAGTTTCCTTAACTAAAACCAAAGGAAAGAATTTTGATCATAAGAAAGATTTAATAGAGCAGGTTTGTACAATCATTACTTATAAGTATAAAATGAGATTGATGCTGAAATTATAATTGCTCATTTTAATGCAAGTTATTACAATTGAAAGTACTTTAGAACACTACTTATCCTGGTGCTACCTTCTTTTAATCTTACTCAACTCACTACAGTTTCATAATCGGATTTGTGCAATCCTATAGTTGGCTACCCACTGTCTGTTTTGAGAGTAGTTGATCGTATCTGTGCATTACTCTATTTCGTACATGTACGCATATAACACTATTTATCCTGGTACTACCTTCTTTTAATCTTACTCAACTCACTACAGTTTCATAATCGGATTTGTGCAATCCTATAGTTGGCTACCCACTGTCTGTTTTGAGAGTAGTTGATCGTATCTGTGCATTACTCTATTTCGTACATGTATGCATATAACACTATTTATCCTGCAACTACCTCCTTTTTATCTTACTCAACTTACTGCAACTTCGTAACCTGATTTATGCAATGCTGTAGTTGGCTACATCTGCCTAGTTTCAGAGTAGTTGATCGTATCGGTGCCTTACTCTATTTCATACTTGTACGTGTATAACACTATTGATCATGGTGTTTTCTCCTTTTTATCTTATTCAACTTACTGCAATTTCGTTATCTGATTGATGCAATGCTGTAGTCGGCTACCACTGCCTATAATGAGAGCAGTTGATCGTATCTGTACTTTTTCGTATTGTACATTGTACGTCTTGCAGTTTCGAGATTTGAAGCTAACTAATACAACGTTATGCGTGAATTCGTGAGTTGGATAACTAACTTACGAATTACGACATAATACTGTAGAATAGAAAAGTTTGAACATTATTGCAGCATACAGTACTGTATAATAACATACTAGACGATAATTAAGAATATATTAGATAAACATAAAATTGTAAAACATGTACTGCATATTTTCATAAATCCATTTTTTGCCTACGGTAATGTGATTTAGGATGCTTTGGATATTATTATCTACGAAAGATAACTATACGTTCTTACCATTACCTTAAATCTATTTCAGATCCGAACGTGCGCGGATAATTATCAGCATGCCTTTGTCTTCTCTGTAGAAAATATGAGAAATAACAAGTTGAAAGAAGTTCGGAACTTATGGAAGGACAGCAGGTATGGTGCAATGTAAAAAGGTTTATTAAATTGTTAATAACTCTACTCATTATGAGACAGAATTAATATAGACTGTACTACTTTCTATGATCTAGCTATTTTACACCATGTTAATACGCTTGCTTATATGAGCTACTTTTGATACTGCTCAGTGTGCTTAGTTCGATAGCTCTCAATTATGTATATGATCTTTGCTTTTAATTAAATTGTTCGATACTGTTGAACAGATTTTTCTTAGGCAAGAATAATATTGCACAAATAGCCTTGGGACGAAGCGTACAAGACGAATACAAGGACGGCCTTCATCATATAGCCAAGGTAAGTCGAAATAGCAACGAAATAGCTATACGAAATAGGTAATAATTTTAGAGACAGTTACGTACGTATTTGTAACGGTTAACAACTAATTTCTTCGTGCCATTAATTTGCAGAAATTAAAAGGAAATGTGGGATTACTATTTACTAACTGCAACAAAGACGAAGCTATTCAGTAAGATGATCCCGCTTACTAGTTCAAAGCGGTCATCGAGTCATTGACTTAGCGATCGATATTATTTCTTATAGATGGTTCAGTAAATTCGCTGAAAATGACTATGCCAGAGCTGGATTTGAGGCAACACTGGATGTAGAATTGCCCGAAGGCAAGTCAAAAATTGTATCGACTAATAATAGCGTATGATGTTAAAGCAAAATATCATTAAATTTTACAAAAATCTGATCTTAGTCTTATTTTAATGGCATGACGACAGGTCCCATTGATCAGTTTCCTCATTCTATGGAACCGTACCTACGCCAGCTGGGAATGCCAACATGTTTAAAAAAAGGTCATCTTGTGGACAGTAATTAGTGCTTATGAACTAACTTCGCCAGATTAATTTTCCTATCTCTTTAGAAATCGACATAATAACAGCTATCAATTAGCTATCATTTTTTCATGGAGTTCATATGAGAACTTTATCGATTGCGTAACTATGATTGTTCTTCATTAACTAGGCATAGTAACCTTATCCACTAATTATACTGTATGTAAAGTAGGAGATAAGTTAACACCGGAACAAGCCAAAGTATTGGTAGGAATAATAAGACAACGTTAAAATAATTTATCCGCTCTACGTCTTTATGATAGATGTAGCTGAGATGTAAAATAAATGTAATCATTATTACATATAGATAAGGAATATATGTACATATGATAAATATTATGCATTTACAAGGAGATTCTAACATAAAGCGGTAACCGCTTGTTCGTTTGTTTGCTAGAAATTATTCAATATTCCTTTGGCTACGTTCAGAGTACAGCTACTATCGATATGGTCTGCCGACGGTTTATTTGAAGATTTATAAAATTTTTTCTCAGTAAACATATTTTTTATCTTTTACTTGAATCGACACTAAAAGTACAAGATTAATTTTGTGCTTACGAAATTAATAATAAAAAGACAAAATGCATATTTACTATTTGTAAGCTTGCAATTCATTCAGTCAAATATGAAACTTTAGCTCTGAAGGATTACAAAGATTGCACGTCGAGAATATATTTAGTTTCAATAAATTGTTCTCCAACGCATGGGTAAACATTATGATTTATACTAGTTATCCCTTTGCCAGCCTACATCACTTATGTCGAAATTATATACATACCATACGCAAAGTGATATTTCCGGAATTGAGTTCGAATTGGATTCCACATTTCACATTACTTTGCAGTTACTAGCTTTCATTGAAAGTAATGATAACGTAAAATTTGAATTAAATTTATTGAGTTATCATCGAAAATCTTTTTGTTATATCTGCTAAGGTGTAAAATTTATTAGTCAGTCATCGTCATGGTATTATTACATCAAAAATATTTAGTAATGATTCACCAGTGTTTTTATCTTCGAAAATATGGCACTCTGCTAATCTTGTGCAGGATCATGCATCAATCAATTATTAATTCTAACTTAGGTAACTACTGTTTCTATCTATATCTTACTTCTCTAGTTTCAGCAATACGTAATCCTAGTAACTAGGGTGTGGTTATCAATCAGGAAATGAAGAGTGATCGACTTTTGTTCATCACTTGACTCCAACCCTCACCATATGTTGTCCAAAATGAATAATAATAAGGGATATCTTCCAGTTTAAATCAATTCGATTTTAATTTTAATATACAATATATAATTAAAGAGATACAGTTTAACTGCAGTATTGTTGTGTATTACTTCGGTACTTTGTATTAAAATTTGGGGAAATCATCTTGCCTAACACTGTAATGTAACCTTGACGGAAGACTTGATATCGCCTTTTTCCCTTTAAAATTCCGACAAGTCGATATTAAAATTTGATTCTAACCAATCAATCTTTAATTAATTGATACATTAATATTACAAATTGTAAGTATTGCGGATTTTATATCATTATTACGTGTATCTGAATATGTTTACTGGCCATCAACTAGTTATCTGTTTGCTGATTGCCTTCCAATTTCAAGCGACTATCGGAAATATCAATTGCGATTATCAATTCATAAGAAATTCATGCTCATCCTCATCAATAGCATGTAGTCTAGCCAAGCCTACTTGGCGTAACGCACCTGTAAATCATCTGGTTGTATGGTCCATTTCCAGTAATGATTCTATCTGTCAAACGCCAAATGCGTGCTGGCAAACTAATATACAAAACTGTAGTTATCCAGAAATACAAATTAAACCGTTAGAAATTCAAGATGGCGATAGTGTAAGCTTACAAATTCTGGAAGTGGACAATAGTTCAATCGTAATGAATATTACTAATGTGACTTATTATGACTTTAAACGATGCTCGGAAAGTTATGGCTTGAATCGATCTGATAACATACTTTCGGGTAATGGCAGCATCGAAATTGATAGTCAAATGCTCAGGCCAGGAATACATTATTTTGTATCGTTACTGACCGAGAACATTTATTATTGTGGCTTTGGCTATCGTCAAATTATTATAAGTCGTTCTAACGATTGTAGAGCACCAGGTAGTCCAGGTAATGTAAAACAGTGTAATGGCCATGGCAGTTGTAATGTAACTAGCGCAGATAATTTTTTAATCCGATGTCAATGTGATAAAGACGCAATCGGTCGTTACTGTCAAGAATATAATGCTTGCTATGTAAATCCTTGCTCAAACAATGCTAGCTGTCATGACATCCAAGGTGACTTTAATAGCTATGATTATAACTGCTCATGTCAAGAAGGTTATACTGGTAAAAACTGCTCAGATATCATTGATTATTGCCAATCAAACCCTTGTCAAAATAATAATCCTTGTGAACCCGCATTTAATGGCTACAGTTGTCGGTGTTCAATCGCTTATTATGGAACATATTGTGAACTGTATCAAGATTTATGCGTCGTACTGAATAATCCATGTAGTGATAAAGTTGGCTATCAGTGCGTTAGCAATCAAGGCTCTTACAAATGTATACGAGGTAAAAGAGTTTTTTTCACATACAATTTATCGGTATAATGCTTTTATTTTGTTTAAGATCTCCAGACTTCAAAAATTTGTTCTTTTCAATCAATCCTTACTATACAGTGCATTAATCTCGATTATAGGCATAATAAATTATATTTTAGTTAATCGATATCAATAGCTTAAAATCATGATTACTGCGAAATCCAAGTCCTAAAAGAAATAACGATAGAATTGGCAATGATTTATCAATCTATGAATTAGAAAATAGATCTAGTTTAGTCCACATTGGAATTTGGTTTATTTAATTATGAAGCAATAGCTTCTTAGGCGTTCGTTTTGAGTGAATCATACTTTAATTTTAAAATAGAACATAAGGGGATAAAAGAAATAATGATATAATTGATTTGGAAATAGTGAATCAAATGATTAGAAAGATAAACGTAGTTTTGTTCCGCATTTAAACTTTGACTTCTTTAATTGTTCGGTAAAATCTTTCTTAGAAGATTATTTGTATCCATAAACATTTCAACAATATCAATCTGGCCTATCTCTCTATATATATATATAACAAGACAAATAATCAGTATTCTTATAGTATTTTATTAAGCTTAATTTTATTTTAATTAAAGATACATTCAACTATCACGCCTAAATACAATCGCATTTTAATTATTATCTTCCTGTCACTGTATCTTATCTTAAAAATGCTTAAGAAAACCGCCTTGATGCTCACTCATCGTAATATTTTCTTTCTCTATTACTAATTAATTTAGTTGCCGTTCCAGTATCCGTACAATTTTATCAAGTTCACCCGTCATGTTCATTTTATCGCAATGTAAGTCGGAAATTCTATCCAAGTAGAAATAATACTGGATAAACTGAACTGTTTAAAAATGTTACCATGTTTATAAAAAAAAACTCAGAAACTATTAATCGTAATCCTAACCATCGCAATAACAGAGTTTCGATCCTTATTTACTATATTTACTTTGCTCGTTTTCTTTCTCGTAGTTGTAATAGTAGCTGCTTTCTAAGATACATTATTTTATAGCCTAAATCATTGAACAAATATTTTAATTGTTACGTTTTCTTTTAGCTATTTAGAAAATTCGTTATTACATCAGGATACGTCTCAATACAATTTTTGCCCTTTCATAGCGGCCTAAGTTTAAAGCCATTAGCTTTTTTCCTTAAAAGCATATTTAGGAATCGCAAAATTAGAAGGCCCATTTCGCTAGAGTTAAATTACATAACACCTTAAAAATAGTTTAAAATGTAGCAATAAATTGCTCGTCATGATTTTTAATAACTAATCCTTGTTAATGCTGATTAAAAGAATTTAAAAGTAGTTTTCACGATTTTCTACGACTACAAACTGCTTTAACTGTGGTATTTATTCGAAATCTATTGCCATGGCTATTGTTGAGATGGAATATTTACCAAACATGTGCTAATAGCAATATCTTTTATTTTGCATGTTGTGACTGAAGACTCTTGCGATCTGCTACTTTTACTGCAATATTTAATGAGCTACCGCACTTCCTCTATTATAGAATCCACAGCAGCTATATACCGAAATGATTGCCAATATTCAGAAACATTGTAATTGCAATTTTACGGATGTAGACCTTGGAACTACAAATGATAGCATAATCTGCATATCTGAATCGGACATGCTTTATAATGTTACCATGTATTCGGTCAGTAATATTTCCGTAGAGAATTTGCTATGCACTTTTAAGCAATGGACTGGGCCAGGAAGCCGACTAGAAATTATTGAGCCACAATTATTAGTGTGCTCGATAGAGTATGCAGCCCGCCTAACTAAAACTGAAGAAGCCTTAATTGGTATAGGCGCTGCTGTTTTTTTCGTCTTAGTCCTTCTTCTATTGGTTTGGATCTTTATGCGTATTCGTCGTAAGTTAGGGGGCTCAAAGTAAGTCGATTTCGAGAAAAATTATTCAAGTTCGACATTCTCTAATTAATCATGAATTGACAATTTAAGATTGAAATGATCATTACCTTACTATAATAGTAATACTATGTTTTTTTAATATTAACATTCCAATACTGTTGTCGACTTCATCATCATATCGTAATGATTGATGCTCTTGTAAACCTATGAGATATACCCGTCAATTAGTATAGTACTATACTGCCGTGATAATTCAGTAATAGAGAAAATTTATTCAGAAGTCTTAAAAATATTTCTGATTTTGCATGTATATCAAACTGATTTATGATAGCATTACAGCTGACATATGCACTAATACTACAAATTCAAGTAAACCAAGTTTTTGACATATTAACTAATTGTCATCTAGTATTATTCTAAGATAGCTCATGTTAATCATTTGAACCAAAATTATAGTTAAATCCTTTCTGTTAGATGTCTTTAATACAAAGTTTTTTCCGTCTTAAAATTTAATATTATTTGCATATAGGAATATTACATTTTCAATGTGCAAGCGATTAAATAGTACAGCAAATATATTCCACAACAATTTGCTTTCCATTAATATCCAATTTAATCTATGCTTTTATTTCTGTTGAGCTATATGAAAGGGCGCAAACGTACTATAACAACAGCGTTAATCTTAGACTATTAATGAGTAATTACTACCTATAATATTATTTAATATATGTTGCTTTCTCGTTGTAGGTCTGTCCCAAGACAAACTCATCCGAAAGAGTCGATACTTATTGCAAGAAAAAATTTTTCGGTTACTCCTGCAGTAACCGAATTTGTTTCAGTTCAAAAAAGAAATGGGAATTCTACAACTTCTGTTGGATTACCCAGTGCTGGCATACATTCTGGTGCTCATGATAACCCACATCATGAAAATTATGAAATGTCTCATCTAAATAATGGAAATCATCATGGCAATCAACCAAAAATTACAATTACTCCAGATACCGAAGATGCACCGACTAAACTGCCTGGAAGTCACACCAACAACAATTTTGATAACCATGATCGATTAGTTTAAGAATTCCATGTTTACAACTCAGCATACCGTAATTCTAGATATAAGCAATTGGCTTGGAACAGTTTTAGCGGCCAAAATCATTTTTAATCATTTTAATTATTTATTTTGTTATGATAATCATAAATGTTGAACTTAGCATTTGTAAAGATGCTGAATAATTAATTATTTTTTAATGCCGATATTTTAACCGAATAACCTGTAATATGTGCAGTAAGTAAAGTAAATTAAATTGAAGTCACCGAGAATCACAAAATAATTTTTACTGGTATAACAGCAGTTGTTACCGAATCTCATGCACAATCGGCATTAATGATAATAGTTTAGCTTGCACTCTGACAAATTATGGTTTAGCTCTATATATATAATTTCAACTAGTATGACCAATTTAATGCCAAAATATTCGTTGTACTTTGAGTAACCCTCGCAAATAAGTTTATCACCTAATTTTGATAAGCTATTCATTTGCATAGATTATATTTTCGAACAGAAATCACGTTAATCGATTGTATATCAATCTAGAATGTAATTTAATCATTTTACTAGTATTATAAAAATTATTTACGTGCATAATTCTGTCAATAATCTTCATAAGTCATAGCACATTATTCACGAAGTGTAATAAAAAATCTCTTGAAAAAATTCTTAGAAATGATATTATTGACATTCCGTACGTCATAACTTTCCTGCTATTTTAGCCAGTTAATAGTGTAAATATCAGTATTACGTCATATGCATCACTGAGTCACTGCAATGGAAAGTACCTTTGAAACGGAAAAAATTTTCTTGCGCATATTCTGTATCCACTTAAGACAATACAGCTATGAGTTCAGGGAAAATTCTACCGATGACTTAACACGAATTAACAGACACACTTAAGCCAAATGGCCAACGCAAAAGGCATACAGTATAAATTGAATTTATGCAGACATAGATATTGTTGCTACTTTGATGTCTGCTGGAAAATGAAACTTAGCCACGATGATTTACTGTATTCCTCCCTTCCCATTGTTGCAAGGTAGTAGCTATTTATATTGAGGCAAGCTACAGTTCCTCTTGTCCAGGTTAACGTTAAAACTGTTCTTTTTATGGTTATTAACAACTACGTTGTTATAGTTAAATAATGATGATCAATTGAACAATTATTTTACCCGTACTGCAACGAGTTCCTAATGCATAAATGATTTACGAATTGCAATCATCAGAATAGTGGATGGTCTAAATTTTTTATGTATACCAGATTGGTCTCTAAGTTAATACTACTACTACTACTACTAGCATATTGAACGAAAGCCACATACCATTTGATAATGCCTAAGGGCAATGAAATCTTGTATATTTCTAATGACTACGCGGAAATATCAATTAAAGGAACTCTCTTCCTCCGACATCACATCACAATAGCAACCGTGATAACCTGTAGCATATAGATTAATTCCAATAAATGGCTTCTACTAACTGTACTTTGCTGCTAATAATTATGTTACGACCAAAGTTACTTTAAAACTCCCGCTATGCAGAATATCCGGGTATCATCATAACCTTTAACGTCAGTGCACTTTCTTAGCAACAAGCCCTAGATGGTTCATAACTCAACTACTCCGGCCGAGTGTGTCAGATAATAATCACCATACATAAATTTGTAAATTCCATGCAGTACTACCTTTATGGAAATTAAATACTGTATACATTTCATGAGTAAATAAAAAGTGGGAGCGAACCCACTAACTTAATTTATTACGATTACTAGCAACATAAGCTATTATAATGAGTACAAACCACAGTCATAGCAAAATTGAGTAGATAATATTAGTCTATAGCAAGGCTATCCTGGCAATCCAAATTTTATACAACAATTAGATGAACTTGTATCCATATTAGTATGATCGAACTGCAGGGGGAACCGGAGCGCATTCTTTTTCATCCATTGTATCATCAATTACTGGACGATACTCTAAGTGAGACTGCAATGAAAACGAACGAAACATGCAAGATATTTTAACAACGGCACCGTCATATTGCTATTTCTAATTAAATCTTTTAATAACTCACTTTGCCAGTTCGATGATCGACATATGACATAGTATGCTTCCGCCAGTGTTGATTGAACGGTTTCTCTTGTTGGCCTTCCAGCGGTTTAGAATAATCGTATTCATCTACTCTGTCCTATAATTATAAATTGTCGCTATTAATACCGCCATCATAGTATCGTTCATTTATTTACATATTTACTTTGAAATCTTCACGAGCGTGAGCTCCTCGACTTTCTTCACGTGCTTGTGCAGCATAGATAGTTTGAACGGAGTTAACAAGAATATTTTGAAGTTCCAAGGTTTCGATTAAATCTGAATTCCATACAAGTCCACGGTCGGATAACTGAAACAAAACATGAAATCATAACCTTTAATATAAAACGAAATACGTGATACAATGTAGATATGAGTAAGATGTCAGGATACATTTGACGTACACGAATGTCGCCCATTTGATTATAAATTTCATCAATTAACTTGCAACCTTCTTCCAATACTGGTCCAGTCCTGAATACTGCTGCATTGTTTTGCATAGTCTATCATCAAAACATCATTGCCAAACATCTCCTTAATACCGCATATTCAGAATAATTTTTCTAAAGAAATTTTTTTACTACAACATACTTTTTGCAATTTTAGTCTTAAATCAGCCGTAGGTATGGCACCATTAGCATGAAGTAGTTTGTCAACATTGGCTACGGTTTCCTCTCCTGCATTCTGTTGTAAAGGTATAACAATTGAAGAAAGTTATAGTTCTAACGATACAGACTAGAACGATAAATTCAACTGTATCAAATTGACGATTATTAGATTCTACCGATGGTAAATCTGCTATAGAGTCGCCAGGTTTGCAAGTTTCTTCAATATGCAATGCACAAGCTCTTCCAAATATTACTAAATCCAGTAAGCTATTAGCGCCCAAGCGATTAGCGCCGTGAACAGAGGCACAAGCGGCTTCACCAGCAGCATACAGACCAGGCACGATAACGTCACCACCTTCTTTTGTATACTGAATGGCCTACAGAAGTGGAAATTTTTAGTGAATTTATACCGATTCTGAAGCATTCCAATATATTTTTACCTGTCCATTGTAGAGAGTAGGGACTCCTCCCATGTTGTAATGAACAGTTGGAATGACAGGTATTGGTTCTTTTGTTACATCAACACCAGCAAAGATCATAGCTGTTTCAGATATACCAGGCAGACGGGTTCTAAGGGTCTCAGGCGGTAGATGGGATAGTTGTAAGTATACGTGATCTTTATCTGGGCCGCACCCCCTGAAATTGCCAATATCGAGATTAGATTTTTGTAGCATCGTTAAATAATGCCTATTATTTACTTGTTGTATTTGAAACTGACCTTCCTTCTCTAATTTCCATAGTCATAGACCTAGAAACTACATCTCTAGATGCTAGATCTTTAGCAGTTGGTGCATAGCGCTCCATAAAGCGCTCACCCTACGAAAGGATTTACGTAAATTAGAGCAATTTTTCTTAGCAGGTTACAAAAGAATAAATCAGTCATTACTGCATGACTTGAAATGAGAAATTTTAAAAAATTTACTTATATTCAATAAGTATAGCTAATAACCTCAGAATTAATCAGATATCCTCCTTCGCCACGACAACCTTCTGTAATTAAACATCCTGCGCCATAAATACCTAAAAATTGGATTGGAGTAAAATTAAGATTACTTTGAATCTGCTCTGCGTGTTTTCCAACAATTTATTAGACTATAATGTATAAATACTTACTAAATTTTGACAGTCGATAAAAAGAATCGTTAAGGTAATAGAATGAATATCTTTCAAACCTGTTGGATGAAATTGAACAAATTCCATATCTTCATTTGCTAATCCTGCTCTGGACACCATAGCTGTTCCATCGCCTGTGCAAGTATGAGCTGAAGTGCAGGAAAAGTAGGCACGTCCATATCCACTAATTCGGAATGTCATTAGTTAATTAATAAAGCAAAAGATAATAATTATCAATGATTGCTTCAAACTTTAAAGCGTTACCCAGTTGCAAGAACTGTATTCTTGGCTCGAAAGCGGTGAATGCTACCATCTTCCATGTCCATAGCTATAACCCCGATGCAAGCTCCGTCTTTCATAATGAGATCCAGTGCAAAATATTCAATAAAGAAGTGGGTGTCGTACTTCAGTGACTATAATGACAACAATTCCAAGAAAGATTTACTTTAAGCCTCAGTTAACTAAGATTAAACGAAATGCATGCGTGTTGCACTCTATGATAGTAATTCATAAAATAATACCCTGCCATAAAGCGTATGTAATAAGGAATGACCAGTACGATCGGCAACGCAACAACATCGATGAGCCTGGCCACCTTTACCATACTTCAAGCTTTGCCCACCAAAAGCACGCTGATAAATTTTCCCGCTCTCGGTGCGACTGAAAGGCATCCCGAAATTTTCCAGCTAATTTTAAGTTACAACGTTTATTGAATTGTAACGGCTGTATGAATTCACCGTAAAAATGTAAAGCTAACAAACAGATTGACTACCTCGATAACGGCCTTAGGAGCTTCTCTAGTCATGTAATGAATTGAATTTTGATCACCTAGCCAATCACTACCCTTTACAGTATCAAACCTACAAGAATAAGGAATATTGAGGATACGTATTTATAGTAGTTTTATTCAAAATACTTTGTTTGCTTATCAATTACACGAATAGAATATAAGAAAGGTTTACGCTGTCTGATAACAGAATGAATTTGATTATTTCATTCTGTAGACACACTGATAGCGTTAATGGTTATAATATTACATTTGTCTTTGAATATATTCATGACTTACGATCTTATTACACTTACATATGCCATTTCCAATCATCTTCTTCCATATTGCCCAATGCTGCATTAATGCCACCCTTTTTACAGTTATAATAAAAGAGATATTATTATTATGATTTGAAAAGTTACTTTCACAAAGGGTAGATTTGCTGACGATGATTTTAAACTACCTGAGCAGCTACAGTATGAGATCTTGTTGGGAATAATTTAGAAATGCAGGCAGTTTTAAAGCCTGCCATGGATAAACCCATCGCAGCGCGCAAACCAGCTCCACCAGCACCAACGACGACAGCGTCGAAAGTATGATCAACTACACGGTAATCTTTAGAAAACTACAGATCCAGAAAAATGACAAGGGTAAGATTTTTTGAATATACGTAAAATACAAGCAATATGTAAGTTTAGTTATAAAATCATGTCTGAATGAAGTACAAGGCAAAGTCAATATAAATCAAGGGCAGTTTAAAGACTATAGTTTAGTCGACAATTACTCCGTCTTACTGTAACTATGAACATATAATGTACACTGAGGACTCGTACAAAGGATAATAAAGACTTCAATCAATTTTGCAGTATTTTCTTGTTAAAAGTATCGTATAATTATAACATCCATTGCAATTCTACAGCAACATGTTGTACCGGTAAAGTAACGGCATATTACTGTGGTACTATACTCGTATACGCTAATAATTAATTCGGTCGACCAGAATCACAAGATAACTAAATTCGAAAGGAGAGCGTTGAAGAAAGTTACTTCTAATCTAATATCGTTGTAAAATTCAATTTCTTAAGATTAAGAATTGGCAATCGGACAGCGTCTGGAAAACAGCAGCAACCTACCTACCAGAAAAAATAATAGAATCCGTCAATACTTACTGCATCCTGTCCAGATGATAATGACCGGCCATGTTGGCGTTGCCAAACAGAACTGGTGTGGGTTAGCGGTCTTGCTTGTCTGAACAGACCACAGGTAGACTACAGTAATTGAATGAAATAGTCATTATATCTTCAAGTAAGTCATTGTGGGTAATAAAATGTTAAGCAATTGTCAAGAACATCAAGTAATTATTAAAAACGAACTATTTTATTGGCAAACAGTCGGGATGTTGATAGCATTTCTTCCAAAATCAGACAGATTTAGCGATCGATGAACTACGCATGCTTATGTAGTACCATCTTATACAGTGTACAGTACACGGCAGTACTGTACTGTACCGTACTGTACTGTACTTGCGGACCTTGATCTTCTTCTTCTTCTAGTACTCCTTGACAGCACTGCATTTTTACCTACTTTACTGCCTGAATGGTAGCTAACAGTAATCGCTAATGACAGATAGAGTTGAGTTCCTACAGCGAGATCCATTCTACGGACTGCACTGTATTATATAAACGTACAGTATGTTCAATTTTGTAGAAAGACCACTAGATTAAAAGGGAGGGACTGTCAACAACAGTTAACTGTTCATGGCGCAGAATGTTTAAGTTGACTACTTTACTAGTCATTCGACTGTATCGAAAGAGTATTCAGGCACGGTACAACGTGCCTTGCGCAACCAATTTTCGTTATGAAGTGTTTTAGTAACATTTTCCAAAGCTTGAAATAACGGTCATCATGGTCAAAGTACACACTCAGTTTTATTCGTGCATTTGTGATGGAGGTGGATGATTATATAGTTGACACTATCGTGGTAAAAGAAAACCTCCATGATAGAATTACACTTTGAAACACGAGTAATTTGGTCAAGATCCTGTACTCTGTACAGTCTACAGGCCCAGTAGTTGAACTATCTGCACATACTTAGGGTGTCCCATAAGTCTTTCCCGGTGATTGAAATTATATGGAATTATAATTTTAAGTCCTTATTCCATAAATTTGGTATCACTTGATTGGAAATAAGACGCTTTATCCGAATATGTAATTTAAATTGATATAAAATGAGTTAAAGTTACGAATATTAGCATTTCAAGCCCAAAATACTTCTATACTATACGTGTATGACAGTATGCAGTAACTCTGTACTTTATTATTTATAGTGCAGTCTATTCCCACCATGTTATGTAACACTATTAAACGGACAGTATCGCACCGGACCGGGTTGCAGATAAATTACGAGCTCTTTGTTGTACTGTACTGTATCGTACCATACAGTACGTGCTGTAGGAGCCTATTGAAGTCATAGCCATGATAGAGGCATGGACTATTAAGTTAAAAGAAAGTCTTCTGTTAGAAGTCCTTGCACTGTATACGGCAAGCAATAGTAAAACTTTCTTTTCATTTTTGCTTTACAGTACTGTATAGCAAAAAAGAAAATAAATAAGAAAGTTTTACTATTACTTGCCATATACAGCACACAGTACTACGAAATCAAAGTCTGACTTAAGTTTGAGGATGCTGTGTCGCCCGGCAAGGGCTGCTTTTCTTGCCATTGCTGCGGAATTCTGGAAGACTTTTTAGACTATAGATTGCTTACTAGATCATTGAACAGGAATGGAATAAGATTGACGATATCTTATTCTGCTGTGCCTGCTATAGTTCACAATAAAGTTGCCAAACTGAATAGAGATCAAAAATCTGCTGTACTTGAAAGTTCACACTCTATCAATATCATTTTCGCCTGCCGCGAATGCTTTACTGTCGGTAGATTGAGTCAAAAATACAGTACTAATAATAGAGATGGATTTCATCCACGACGATGGTAATAAATCAGTTTTTATCACTAACTTCCTATTAGTTAATCCACGGACTACTGAAAGTCTATGGTTAATTTAATCAATATTTCATTAATTATCTTTCTCCAATTTTAAGGATTAAAGCGTCCGCATTGCTAACGGCTGAAAGAGTTACCGTAAGATGTCAAAATGCATATTTAACGAGTAGCACGTATAGTACTAATAAAATATCGTGCTTCACTTGCTTTTAGTCGGACCTTTAGTTTACACCGCTATCATAGCAATTATGTCTGACTGTGCTTAAGGCTAATTATGGACTTCAGATCTTTCACACCTGAGAATATTACATAGAAAAAAAAAATCGGTTCTCCCTATTCTCTTTATAATTAATTAATTAATCCACTGGCCTAACAGTAGCTAATACGTAAGATAGAATAGGCAATGGCATTTCCAAAATAGATGAGAATTTAAATTTGAATCTAATCAAATCCATAATATTAACCCATGTAGCAACGCAACAATGACACTAATTAAATCAGATAGAAAGCCAAAGCCAACTAGAATAGTCAATCTTATGAAATTTGTCTTGTCATGTTGTCATCATCGCTCCAAATATTGAACTATTACTTGAAATTATTATTGGCCCATTGTAAGCATTGAGAGAATTAAGCATTCCGTAGAATAACATCGCTCTTACTTGTATTAGCCACACTTTAATTTCATAAATATATATTTGCGATGGGATTACTAGTTAATATATTGTTCGCTTACACAGTAGCAAATAACAATTAATCTAGCTTTGTCCATAATGGATTGCTTGTTTATTCTTATTCATAACCTTTAACGGAGTCTTTTAAGGGATTTAACTACAACTGACCGTCTGATTATAACTATAATACAGATATCACTTCTTATAAATGAATTATTCAAGGACAGTTCTCCAGCTGGAACAGTCCTACTTTGTTTTTTATTATGCTCTACTGTAATTACAACAGTTGCACTTTCAAAGATATTTGATGTTATTGTTGCGACAGCCTCAAGGCATATTGCAACCTTTAATGAAAGTATATAATGGGCAAACATTTGGTAAAATAAATATAATAACGTATTAACATGACAGTCGGTAACAAAATATCCAATGACAATATTATCCATTAGCCTATATTAAACTCACTTTTAAAGCGATTATAATAGATTTTGTATTTCAAAAAATGTTCCACGATAGAGTATTAGCTTATAGAGCAAATTCAAGGAAAGTTTTTTGGATGCTATCTAATATAATTGAAATAATAAAAAGTCTTCTAGCCGCATCTTTAAATGATAACAGCTCTAATATAAATTTCAGTCTGGAACAGTATATTTCGCCTACAAATGTCTCTTCATATACAGTATACTATTATTTAGCAATTAATTAATATTATATATACATATAGGATTAACTTTAATTATAAAATGATTAACAACTGCATACTTACGTAACTTCAGAGTGCTGTGAAATGATGTAATTGGTTACTCATTTAAATTATATGTAAATTATAAACCAATTTTTTAGATATACAGTAGACTAATTTATTCTACAACCAGTAAATCATTTTAACGCAGATGATGATGTGATATTATCGCCAACAATGGATAACTCTAAGATATACGTTATATGATTATTCAACGGTGATTCATCGATGACTTAATCAACCATATGGAATAAGAACACACCATTGCTTATCCTACCTATTTATTTCGAACAATAAGTGACAAATAGCTATAATTAGGATGAACGATTAGTATTATCGAGAGTATCAACAACCTAATCTAAAAATAAATTTTTTATCTATGAAATAAATCGGTACAAGAATAGCAATTCAAAGGCAACAGTAGACCAGTAGATGTTATGTTGATATTACTTGCCGCATTTGTAACAATGGGCAGATGATGCCATCTTGAAAGAATCTTTGTACAGCAAATACAGAAAAGAAACGTTAACAGTATTTTTTAGCACTTATACTACAACCAAACGTTTGATTAGCTTTAGTGCTTGCTTTAAAGCTAGAAAATGAAAATAGATATTGATTCATATTTAATAGTCCATGGCCTAAAGTTTTTAATTATATCCTTGATAGTTATGGCTCTTTTTAATTGTAGTAATAAAGTGATTAGATCTACAATTTATTTTTTTCTTTGAATTTATGTTTCTTTGAAATAGAAATGAACTCTAACTTATCTTGCTATTTCCCAATTCAATAGACCTATGCTTGAAAATATTCTGAAGTATATGCCAGTTATCAGATCTAATGTAAAACCTGTATTACATTACTAATAAACCTCCAAAATATGGCTTATTTGCCGCTAAAGATATGGCTTAGTTTTTAGCTTAGGAATCAAGTGCGCTTATAAGGTTAGCAACAAGGGAAAAAATTTACAAATTTATTACAGGTTCAGGATTGCTCGAGATAGTATAGAGGGAATTTTATTGATCATTATACTATTTATTTGTTCGTCTTCCTGACAATTAGCTCATACCATTGAAAATCTAAATGGAGATCCAACAGAAATTGACTCTGTTGATCATATTTCTGTTTTAATCATTATCTAAAATGTAATTTACCGTACAACTAGTACAGGATACAAACACTTGCCACTGTATCACTTAGACTGCCAGTGTTAA